TTGTAAAATAAAAATGCAAATTAATTAAACGATTTAACTTCAAGATTAAAAGGCATTGGGCATTAGGGTATTTCAGAGATCAATAAACAATGGAAACATGAAACAAGGAATTCAATAATTACGAACCGTTCTCGAACATGAACACAACTAGACTAATTCTCTTTCAAGACATTAATCACTAAATTTGACTACTCGATTACTAAACTTTCGCATGTAATTTCCTAGTCAAATTCGCCTTATCAAACAAGTTCATTAAGTTCACAATGCGTCCTAACGTCAACTTTCGTTGGCTAAGCATACATTGCTCAATTCACATTCTTTCAGGCATTCTATCGAACACTTTTGATGCATAGAAAAACCTAGAATCTACAACAGGGTGATCAATCCTATTCTAGCATTAAGAACATGTGAATCAAAGAACCTAGAGAATAAGAATTCCTAATACAGTTAATCCATTAATCCATTGAATCTCCTAATTAGAACCCTAAAACCCAATTGGAGAACTACTCACACATAGCAATGAAAACAACGCAAATAGATAAAGAAGAAAACATAGTTGAATTGAATAAATGAGATAAAGGTTTAGAAATCTTCTCCAAATTGTCAAGAAGGAATGAATCTCTAATCCAAAGGGGAGTAGCTTACAAAATAGCTCTCAGAAAAATTGCAGAAAAACAACGTAGAAAGAAAAATAGGTTTCTCTGGGTTTTTATACCCAAGTACAGAAAAAGGCAAATAAACCCGGTTAAGGAAAACCGGTCTGGTCGTCGAAAAGGGTGGATCGATCGATCCCCACCTGGGATCGATCGATCCCGAGCTTCTGGTTGATCACTTCTTGACGGACGAGGGTTGGATCGATCGATCCCCTCCTGGGATCGATCGATCCTGAGCTACTGGTGCTTTTGGCTTCATCGTCACAAATTGGGATCGATCGATCCACGCCTTGGATCGATCGATCCCCAGCTCCTGGTGATCTCTTGTACCGTTTCTCCATTGTTTTAGCTCCGAATAGGCTCAATCACGCACAAGATGCTCCGAATCCAGCTCGAGCACCTATAACCTGCAAAGGACTCAAGACACAACCGAAAAGACGCAAAAGACGGACTTTGACACGATAGATGACTCAAAACACGGACTAAATCAAGACTCGAAACCGTTAAAAACGCAACACATCACACAAAAAACCTGCTTTTGAAGAATCTTGAAAAAAGACAATTGGGCTCATATAATAATCGCCAGGCTTGCTTCGCTAAAAGATCTTGATTGAAAATTTCCAGATCTTTAAAATCAAAACCACCAAGTTTTTTAGGCAATGTCATCTTTTCAATCCCGACCCAGTGAATCTTTTTGTGATCTTTCGAGTTACTCCACCAAAAATCCATAATAGCGCTTGTCAGATTCTGAATAGTAGTCTTTGGCAGTTTGAAACAGGTCATTGCATAAACAGGGAGAGCCATGGCCACAGATTTAATAAGGACTTCCTTACCACCTTGTGATAAATTTTTGCAAACTATCCTGTTAGTCTGTTCTTCAATCTGACTTTAATGTAGTCCAATAATTTCTGCTTGGAACCACTAAAACACTCCGGTAAGCCTAGATAATTCCCTGTCCCACCTTCCATCTCAATCTCTGTTTTATCTTTAATCCACTTCCTTGTAGTATCATCGATTTTAGATCCAAAAGTAATGGTTGATTTCCCTTTGTTGATCTTTTGGCCAGAGATTCTCTCATATTTCGCTAGACAATTTAACATCTCCAAACATTGATCTTTATTGGCTTTACATAGAAAGAGACTATCGTCTGCAAACAATAAGTTGTTGATTACTGGACCTGAAGGATGAAATTGAATGCCAGATTTTGTACCTTCACGTGTAGATTGATCAAAAAGATGAATCAAAGCTTCAGTGCAAAGTACAAACAGAAAAGGAGAAAGAGGATCCCCTTGACGAATGCCTCTTTCAGGTCTAATAAAACCAAAAGGTTTGCCATTGATCAGTACTGAATATGTAACACATGTCACACATCCCATTATCCAAGAAATCCAAAGATTATTGAAACCCAGTGAATGTAGAATTTCTTTGAGAAAAGACCATTCAACTCTGTCGTATACAAAAAAACACCGTCATATATATAGAATTTCGTTCTTTTAGCTTATTGGTTTTTTAATCAATTAAGAACGGATTGAAGTTGCAGAGCAAAGTCACGTTTGGTGCCTTTGGGTTTTTTGAAGTAATTAGGATTGAATTTATGGACCGATGCTTTGGATTCGATTGAATTTGTGTTCTTAGGTTTGATGAAAGCAAGCCTATATTTGATGAACTGCACAATTTTCTTGAAGATTGAAAAGCTCTTGATTGAAGAAGAAGATGAAGAAGATTTTCAGATTTGCATTAAGTGGAGTCATAATCTCATCAAAGCTAAAATTGGTATTTCGCTTTTATTTATTTGAGCGAAGATTGAGATATGTCGATTGAATAAGTTTTCCGGTGATCTTGGCCGGAATTGAAGCTTTTCGAGGTCACAACGATCTGCCAGTGATCGGAGACTCCCACATCTTCGACTTCCCACGTGTCTGCTAACCTGTTTCCCACTTGCCACGTGTCATATGTGCTGTGTACAAGCTTTTCCTTCAGTTTAGGGTTCTCTTATTGGGCTTTTGTTTTCTTTGATTGGGTTTGTTTGTTTTAATGTTTGTAAAATATTGGTCTGTTACATTTGGCTTTGCGTAATAAATAAAACACACTTGTGACAAAAAAAAAAAATATAATAAGCGAAAACCTCCATAATGTATTTGACAGTTATAATGCAAGGAAAAAAGAAAGAGAATAATACTATACTATTTATAATAGTTGATGTATTTTGAGGTTGGGTAAGTGGGTATCTTTAGCAGCAGGAAAAATAACACTCTTTGATACTGAAGAAACGCAAGAGGTTTAGCCGCTGGCAACAATCTCGTGAATGGCCTCGGCTACAGAAACGTCCTCAGCTCTAACTGTCAGCTTCATTGCAATGTCCTTTGGCCTTTGATGAAAGTACCAAGTAGAGGATTTATGAGCAGGCATGTATGCGGTTGATTCGATATATAACAATATCAAGATGATGTGGAGCATGGGAGGAGGCTGGGAATTGGGAGTTTGATGGACCATCACCGGTTATCACCCATTTGGCATATCATCAGAACAATCAGGTTGAACATCCAACGGCTATAATTAAGTTTGATCAAATTGTGCAAGTATAGTAGTAAGCAACAGGAGATGGTGTTGTGGCGGATTGTTTAAGCGAATTTGAATCAAATTAAGGAGAGACGCTTTAGATTCGTTACCAATCTTTCTTTAAATAATATATGGAAAGATAAAGACATTTTTTTTGGCAATATAACTATTTGATAATAATAATCTATATCTATCTATATATAATAATAATTTCAAACTTAAAAATACTAGTATCTATCTATATAACATCAGCCAATTAATTCCCGATGTACATAGGTTATAGAAATTTACTATATTTCTAAATAGTAAATATACATAATTCCAAGTGAGATTAGGAATGATAATTCCCTATAAAATCTGGCGAGATTGGTTTTGAGGGAGACAAGAAAAAGAAGCTTACGGAAGAAACGAGCACAAAACAAAAGAAAGAGTTTCTTACTTGATAAGCAAGCAACCTTAAACCCTACGAGAGACAACAACCATGAATGAAGGAGAAGAACCACCCGTTGAAAGATTTATGATTCTTCCTGATGATTTGCTCTTAGAGTGCTTAGCTCGCGTCTCAAGATTCTACTATCCAACTCTCTCCTTAGTCTCTAAGAGATTTCGCTCTCTCCTTGCTTCAACGAAGCTTTACCAAATCCGAACCCTCTTAGGCCGCACCGAGAGTTCTCTCTACGTGTGCTTACGAGTCCCTGGCGATTCCAAACTAGTACATTGGTTCATTCTCCGCCAGAGACCGAATAGCTCCAGAAAAGTTTTGGTCCCGATTTCATCTCCCAATTCTTCCTCTGTATCCAATCCGGGTGTTGCGGTGGTTGGTCCTAGTATCTATGCCATTGGCGGAGGAATAGAACCTAGTATACCTTTCGTTGCCAGAGGAATAGAAACTAATGCTTCGTCCAGCGTAATGGTCATGGACTCTCGTTCTCACATATGGCGTGAGGCTCCAAGCATGAGGGTGGCCCGCATGTTCCCATCTGCTTGCACCCTCGATGGGAAAATATATGTAAACGGAGGCTGCGACAATCTCGATTCAACGAACTGGATGGAGGTTTTTGATACCAAGACCCAAACTTGGGAGTTTTTACAGATCCCTAGCGAGGAGATATGCGGAGGCTCTAAGTACGAAAGCGCAAGGTATGAGGGAACCATCTATGTGAGGTCCAAGGCAAAAAATGTGACTTACAAGCTGCATAAAAGTAGATGGAGGTCGGCAGACTTATCCCTGAATTCGAGATGGATGGGGGCTCCTTCATCAGCTTATTGTGTGATAGAGGACGTGTTCTACTGCTTTAGTAGTGGCCGGACGATCTGGTGGTATAACCCTAAAGAAAGAGGATGGACAGCTATGAAGGGTTTGGAAGGATTGCCTAGCTTGCCTGTTTATAGGGAACAAGTTAATTTGGCGGATCATGGTGGAAAAATGGCGATTCTGTGGAAGGAGCATGTTGATAAGAAGAAAATGCTTTGGTGTGCAGAAATTGCGGTTGAAAAACGCCAGAATGGAGAAATTTGGGGGACGCTTCAGTGGTTTGACAATGTGTTTACATCCTATGGGCCAAACGTTTTAGTGCATGCTCTTACTAGTACAGTTTGGTGAATCACTCATGATCACCTTGGTGAATTGAATCATTCACCCATGCATTAACTATCATTTTTTTTTTTGTTTTTTTTTTCCTTGCTCTATGGCTCAAGGATTTTCTTACTTTTTTTTTCTTTTCCTTTCTAACAATGGCATTTTGTCTACACAAGAACTTCACAAGTCACTATTAAACTTGAAAATCTCTAATTTGCTCATGGTTATTTTAGGGCTAAACCCACAGTGTACGATGATATACAGAATTACTTATATAACATGTAAAATGACAAAACCTGATCAGTAACAATTCCATTAGCATTAGCCTGCCTGCCGAGAAAACGATCTAGACTTCCTTCACTTGACTCGCGGAAGAAGATGTTCCCTTCAGGCTCAACGGTGTCCTGCTATATTTAACTTAAATGTATAAGAAACACTGCAGAGCATATAAGAAACCAAAACCGATTTTAATGTCTTTGCTCAGAGTAATTCATACCTTTGGTCGTGCCACAGGATGGGGAATCCTCTAAGACTTCACTTATTGCATTGCAACAACTTCCACGGCCTTGGTTGGTTCCACCAATAAAAATTTGGATGTGAATGATCCATCTGCAAACGACTTTCAAGAAATTAACACCAGCATTGAAGCAATCATGAGCACCAGTGCTAATAATTTTAGTTCACAGTTTAAAAAGAAACTAATAATCAATCAAAAACGAAGAAATCATTGCTCAAGATTAAAACCAGTGACGAATCAACCAACAACATATCAGTCTAGGCTCTTTAGAGATACACAACCCAACATAGGATTTCCAATTCATTATACAGACCTCCATATCAATCATATATTCCCCGATCATCCCTTCTGAGGGTTCAAGACCTTCTCGCAGGACTGGGAACCGTTGTAACTCATTCCTCATACATCTATGGCTAATCTGTAGAAAAATTCAAAATTTTATGAAGAAAATGAAATTAGTCTTATCATTTATCAACAACAAACCAAAACAACACTCACCTTTATTAGCTCATCAAAAATGAACCTACCACACTGAAGGCACAAACGAGATATCTGCCTCCTAACAAGAACTTCAAATGGAATTAACCTGCGCATAGTAGAATGAAATCAAGACACTATTATTACATATCCTGGGAAGTAGAAAAGGTAAGGAAAAACATATGTATATAACAACCGTCATCAGCAAGGACTCGGGACAAGCCCACAAGTAAACAAAGAGACGACAAACCCAAATCCAAATCCAAAACCCCAAGGACACGAACAAGACACAAGATGATCAGATCTCATAAATAAATCAAAATGCCACAACCTCCAAACCCAAAATTGGGGGATAGAGACAAAAGACAAAACCATCAAACAAACAAACAAACAGATTCTCTCCTCTATTATAATCTAAAGAACCCAAGTATATGAGTATAAAAAGGCCTGATATTCAAGCACAATCCAGAGTGAAAATAGTTTCTCCTTTGCTTAGGCACCTGAATGCGAGACCGGTGTCGTCTCAAACTTCCCTTCAGTAAACACATGATTGTATTGTTGAGCCAGTGCATGTTCCACCTACAATGTTGCAACAAAACAATGTTGAGAATGATTCCTTCTATGAACAGTGTCACACACATGAGATTCTTGGTTACAATGCGCTTCTAACCAATGACTTCTGAATTGTGGTATCTACCTACAGTGACCGATTCCAGAGGTATTTCTTTGCTTGGTGAATAAATTTAAAGAATATAAGAAAACCAAAACGTTTTCATGGTTACAAAGAGAGGAAAGACATACCCAATCTCCATCAGGGGTAGCACCCGGCACCATTACATTGATCTCACTTGATTTGGCTGTTGTTATAGCTGTCTCTAATGAGTCTTTGTTTAAATATATCTGACAGCCAGTTGTGTTGTCCACAGAAACTGTGGGAGCTGAACCCTAGATCAGCCATAGATGAGTAAAAAGACAAAGCTAGAGCAATCAGTGTCGCGATAAATGTTGCATATGGTTAGAGCTACATCATAAGTTTGAGACGCAAAATAGATGGTCCTTAAGAAGATACATCTGCCGCCATTACAAAAGCTTATAGATCATAGAACACAAACCTGACATTGCACTTCTACGTTGGTGCAGTTCACAATCTCAAATGCAGCAACAGCATCCTATACAGACATGTTATATTTTACTTTATTAGAAATCACGTAACTGTATACTGTATGAATGTAAAAGAAACAGTATTATTCCACTCACCGTGAAAACAACACCCATTTTGGTGCATTTGTCACTGGTGATGTTATTCACTTTTCCTACAGATTAGTCAACAACAGTAAGGGCCTCATAGACTTTTGAGTAGAGATATCCAACTTTAACAGTGAGATTGGAGTGGCGCAAAGTTACCTTGTATCTGCAAGACAGAATCTTTGCAACCAAATATGTACACAGACTGTTTGGAATCACACTCGCTGATAACCAAGTCCTTCTTCCCAATTTGGTTCTCAACAGCCCACCTAATAATTTAGTAGAAGCCAAAAATCAGTATTATATCATATCTGTCATAGGCTTGTACCATATAGTTATTGTTAATAAAACCCACTTGCGACCCATTTGAAGTTCCATTTTCGGTGGTCCAGTTTCCGAAAAGGCCGGTTTACTGGTACGAGTTTCCTTCTCAGCGGCACTAACAGCTCCAGATCTATCAGCACGGTTCTTAGGTCTTCATATCAGCCGTCACTTTTCTAAGACCTGGAAAGCAAAAGCACGAGGATTATAAGCTAATATTGATTCACATTCCAAATAAAAACTGTGACAGAAATATGAAGACATACAGCTTCAAACCTACCTGAGGTCACAGCACCCGAGCTGAGCTGCTGGAAAACAGCAGACATCCCTTGTTTCTGGTTTGACGATGATGATTGCTTTGAAGATTCAGCACTGAAGAGGGGTGCTGGTGGAGGAGCAGGTGCACCAGGTGGAGCCTTTGCAGGAGCACTAGCAGGTTTCCCTGATGCATTCCATACAGGTCCCAAGGGGTAATGACTTTTAACATATTCCCTTAAACCAGGTAAGTAAAGTTCTTTCAACGCTTTAGCCCATTCCACATGATCTGCGTCTTTGTTACGATACTCCACCAGAACCTTAAGAAGAACATGGAGATCACAGAATTAACAATGTGCAAAGTGCATCAAACATCAAAATAAGCTTTTGCAACCTGAACAAGCAACTATAAAGTCCTCGTTCACTATTGTTTTCCATAAGCTCTTAACATCATAACATACGAAAACATAGAGATATTGAAGATTAGCACCTTATTGTTGTAAAACTCAGCCATTTGCCAACTTTCTTCCACATGGGCTATTGGCATACTCATACCTTGCAGAGAAAGAAAAACCAAGTAAGTAAGAAAATTAACATCATAAAATGCATAAAGTCAGAATCTTTTTCCAACATGATGATGGCTTTGCTTACCACAATCTTTTCCAGTGAAAGCAATCCAAGCCAATGCAGATAAACTATCCGATGCAGCCTTCAAGTGATTGAAAAAATCCGACCTTTTTCCTTCAGTCAATGCATTAGCTTTCATTGTAACATCATTCAACGGCTTTAGAAATCCAGCCAGTCCAGCAAGATCAGGCTTCTGTTCAAATCAAAATCCTAATCCTATTCACAAATCACAACGACGCAGCAAAACAAATTGATGGATAACACCAAAATTCAAAAACTAACCTGAGTTTGCTTGATGCGAACAAGCAGCTCCTTTTGTGAAGCAAAAGCTTCGGCGACAACCTTCGTCACATCTAGAACAGGTCCACCGATTTTCTCAGCCGCGGTCAGAGCCCTACCTACGCATTGAGAAATCAGATCTTCATAAGCAATAATCGATGGACCGGACGACGCGACATCGGCGGAGAAATCTCCTCCGCGGGAAAGAGAAACAACTCCTCCTCCTCCTCCGTTGATTGAGATGCCTTCAAGCCTCGTAACCGCAGCTTCAAGGCGCTTAATCAAATCCTCTTCCATTTTTCGATCAACAAAAGCTCGAATTTAAAGAATGGATTTTGTTTTCCCTTTTTGCGTGGGGCTATGTGGGTTTCATGATGGCGAAGTCAGGAGAATATGTGATGACACGTGGCCTTGCTTGGATAAATTCACCAATCGCAGGTTTAGTGGAGTGGTCGTGGATTGTCGGATCCAAATTCTCCGACACATGTGTTTGAGCTCGACCCAAACCGGATCCAAAATAGGTTTGAGACCGGGTTCAGTTTTAACCCGAATTTAACCGTATTACCAATCAAATTTCAAAGCAGAGCCGAAACGGTTCTTCTCTATAAACCAAATTACCAAATTCCGGTTTGGTCCGGGTCGATGTTAATGCTCAGGCCTAAACTGAATGGAAATTCACATGGGAAGAAATGTAAGAACAAAACACAAAGAATTAATAATTCCTTTTAGTTTTACTCTTTCAGCTTCACTACACCAACATAAAAAAAAACAGCAATTATACAGTTCAATGGTCGGAAAAACATTTACCTTTTATTCTAAAATGTCTCTAAGTTACTAATACATGAGATAAAATGGTTACAGTTGGACCCTTAATTTCATTGATTTATTAAAATTAATAACTCAAATAAGAAAAAGTGTTGTCTAATTAAACACTTGAGCGAGTAAAAAAGTCAGACATCACTATGTAACTTTTGTACCAAAAAAACCCACATTAATATTAGGCTAGATTAAATCCTACAAGAAGAACAAACTTGGTGACAAAAAAAAAACAAAAAAAATTTCTGATGACAAAAAAAAAAAAAAAACAAACTTGGTGAGAAAAAGAAGATGAAGACGATGTCGGAGAAGAGACGTCGTGAAGAGAAGAAAGTCAACAAACCATTTCTTTATTATAATTCATATTGTTATATTTGATTTAAATATATATATATATATAATATCTATATATTATACATTGTAGTTTGTATAATTTTATTTTATCAGTCAAATAGAAATTAAAACACTTAATTAATTAAGAATTTATTTTCTTGTCTACTTATTATATATATATAAGATTTATGACCTCTTGTTAATGTAAATATAGTACACCGCGAGCCTATATTTTTATTAAATAAAAAGTTAACTTTTTTAAAGATGATTTATATATATGTTATTGTTTTGTTTGATTTAAATGTATGGTACACCGCGAAATTATATTTAATTTGTATTTGTGTTATTGATATTGTTTATTTTGTTTAGTTTTAAGATTGTATAATTGTATTTTGATTGTTAAATCTAGAATTTCACCCGTAGTACAACATCCCGTATTAATATCGACTCAAACCCTTCAATTTTAGGATTTCATCCGTAGTATAAAATTTAAATATTTATAATGTTTGAACTTTTTATAAAAGAATAAAAAAAATTAAATTTAAATTTTAAATTGTATTTGTTTTATTAATATTGTTTGTTTTGTTTAATATTTAAGATTGTATAATTATATATTTGATTGTTAATTTTATGATTTTACCCGTAGTATATCGAATCGTATTATTATATTCTAACACTCACGTATATATTGGTGTGCAATGAAAAATAAGTTTGGTTGGCATTATTATTTTACTATGTATTATAGTTATTAGATAATTTAAATATTTTATAGAAATTGTGATTATAAAATAGACCAAATATAAATGTCTTTAATATGATAGAAATTGATAAAACAACCCTTTGTACAAAAAAAAAAATCATACTTATAGACATATATTTCTTGATTTTATCTATATTATTAATTGGGAATCATTAAATATTAAGTAACCTTATGAAGAGTAAAATATTACAAAAAATGCCATTGGTTTTTAGTGTTTTTAAATAACTTCATTAAGGGTACAATAGTAATCACAAAATTAATATATTTTTAAAAAATAGTTTAATTCTTTTAAATAATTATTAATTTCCAAAAAAATAAACTAATTTTCTCTCTCTTATTAATTATAAACGAAAATTTGAAATTAATTTTTAAAAAATTTTTAACCAATAAGAATTGAAAAACTAAGATTTGATATCCAACTAAGATTTTATCTAAACCAATCGTAATAGACTATTCTATATCAAAAATAAAAAGAAAAATAATATCATTTTAATTCAAAATTAAAAACACTATCGTTTAAAAGATTTATCAATGGAGGACTTTAAGATTAAATTTAAAATTTCGTAAGAAAATTAAATACAAATATTTTAAGATTCAGATTTGTTATAATATTTTCACAAATTTTAAAATATAAAACAAAATTTTATTTCACAATTTCTAAATACGATATTAGATATTAACAACTATTTATATTTATGATGAAATAAACTCAAATAATAATAAATTTAAAGTAATTATCATTATAACCTTCGTTTAGAGCAAGTTTGATAAATATCTAACAATAGATTGTATATATTAATTTCTAAATTATTTTGCGTTTTATTTTTTGTTTTTCAACCGGATCTTCCTTAAATAAATCCCTAATATATTGCACACAGTTTTCAAATAATGTAAACTAATTATATATTTTGAATTCAAATCAAATTATGCAGCAATTGCATATCCGTTTTAGAGATGTATCTCAAATTTTTATTTTTAGTCCAAAAATCAAATTAATTATGATTAAACAATAAAAAGAAGAATATGCAAAATTTAGCTAAGGAAAGAAACATTAATAAATTTGTTAAAATATATTTGTAACTTTAGCAACATATATATTAATCTGCAAAACTCACAGTATATATTGTATGGTATTTAAAAGTAAGCAAACAAGAATTTGGAACATGATTTTAATGGAATGAAATGAGAATAGGAATTACGAGACGGGATGAGATGAGAACATAAATTAAAAATCAAACTAAATACCCAATTGGTATGAGTTCAGGTTATGAGCACTATATAAAATAAATTTGTTTACATACATAACCTTGTACGTACGTTTTCAGTTACACATATTCTATTTATGCCGGATACTGGACCGTCATATTTTTATTTCACGTATACGAGACGGGTTATGGGACCAAGAATTTATGACAGATATATGACGTGATAGGTTTCCCGTTCTAAAATAGTTACGCCTAGATAATATACATGAAATAACCAAACTCAAACCGATTCTATATCCTATTTAACACATGTAATCAAACTATTAGAAATGTTTTGATTAGTTTAGAAAATAAAAAAGTAACATCATTTAACTTTTGCAACTAAATTATATCTTAGTTTTATCTTAAATATAATTTCGCACGTACGTGTAGGTCCGGATCTTAAAATATAACTATGCACTAACGCAACTGAATTTCGTTCATTACTCTAATTTTATAATATTTATACTATTATAAATTTTACTAACACAACAAAATATTTTATATTTTTAAAATCTATATAACAATTTCTATAAAAATATCTCTGCACATATGTGTGAATCCAGATCTAATACACTAAAATATATATCATAGAAACAACGAATAATCTATATTAAATTAAAATTTGTTAGAACTTTTTCAAAAATATGAAACCCCGCACGTACATGATCTAGTTTTGTTTTAAATAGAAGTGAACAGATATTACTACTTTGTTTTCCTGGGCTTTCGGCATAAACCAAAAGAACCGAACTGAGGAACCAAAAGTTTCGGTTATCGGTTTCAGTTTATTTCTCAGACGTAAACCGATCGGCGGATTAATTATTAGAGTTCGGTTCTCGGGTTGGTTTGGTTCGGCATTCGATAACCGATTATTTTGGTCAGGACCGACATAATTTCTTTTTCAGAGAAAAAAAAAACAAATCTTCTTCGTATGTTCTCATTTTCTCCAATCTCAACTATTTTGCTTTTTTTTTTTTGTTTCTGGTTCCTTTGATTTTTCACAATCCGATTGCACAAATCACTTAATCAAATAACTTAACTTTGTTCGATTTGACTGCTTTATACTGTTTCAAACTTCCAATTGTTGTTGCAAACTCTTCACAAGTGGCGGTCTAAAACCGACGGTCTAGCTATGATGACTCTCTTCCGTCGGTAAAAACGAAGGAATTGGCGGTGCGACCACCAGTTGTCCAGCTCTCACGTTGCTAGAACGCCGGAATCCGTATACTTCTTCTTTTGCGTAAAATTTCAGTTTTTTCACATCATAATAATTGTTGTAGACTAATAATATATAATTAATGACCAATAAAATTATAATCAAAAATCATTCAGAAGCCACAGCTTAGTGAATTGTGTTTACCCTACTAGTATATTTTCCACAACATTTTTAGAATAACACAATTGCACAACAATGATAATATTTACAAAATTTTAGTTATTAGTTAAAGTAGTTAAATTGATATGACATGAACCCCAAATATATAAGTTAATAAACGCTGGACTGAAGTCCCAACGAAAATTTAATTCTCATGAAAGAACTTGTTGTTGTTCTTAAGCATGTGAGTTCTGCATCTACAAGCTCAAGTCAGAATTCTCACTTCTAGAGCCAAGCAAGCGTCTGGTGCAAGTAGCATACCCTATTTTCCATCTTGTTTAAATTATTTTTTCTTTTAATCAACAAGAACTTGATCAAAAACAGAGAGACTTTGGACGAGAGAGAACAGAGTAATGAACTGGAAAATGTTTCTCTTGTTCTCTAGACAACTTTGCATTAAGACAATATACACACACTAGTGTGTTTCTGAATCAGGTAGAGGAAAATGTTGCAGCAGTTACGGAGCTTGAAAGTCTGGGGATGGATCAAGAAACTCTCTCTGAGGTTAAGCTATTCTCGAGCCTGTAAAGAATCTGACATGGCCAAGTGGAATCCATCAGAACTGAAAAAAAGAAGAGCTTTTTGTGTGTTCTGGTAAACTCTTGTAATGCTTCTGCATTGGTTGATGTGTTTATAAGAGTGTGTATGTTTGGTTGGTTGCTATGATTGATAAAGTTTCTTAGATAATCAAAATTAATCGGAACATCTTTTGATCAGAGCGTGAGACTTTGGAGGAAGAAAACGCAGTGATGCTCTTGGCCTCTCTGAGAAAACGGTCAAGGACTCCAAATATATGATATCTTTAGTGTTTGATGATATCAATGAATGCCAAACTAGACAGGTTTTGTGTTGTGGTTCCATTGAGAAGTATATATATGATATCAGAAACACACTATAAAACAGGTTTTGTGTTGTGTGAGTCCAAATTTCATTCGCTACAACCAAACCATGGTCTACTTTTTTTACCTAGAATTGGGCCATGACAATAAAATTGATGATTTTCTTTCTTAAACCAAAAAGGGTAACAACATCAATCAATTTTGTATGGAAACCGAGTTTTAGTACACAACCAATCCAAACGTTTTACATGTGTCCAGGCAACCAAAAACTAAAACCAATCCAAAAGTTTTGTATGGGTCTTACAATAGCAGCAAAAAAGACTAATTGAATCTCAGAGAAAGGATGCTGCAATATAGTGGACCAAAAACTAAACACACACAACACACAGACAAAAAAAATTTGAGTAATGGACTAGATAGGCCCAGGGCTTTTATGCTTCTTCTAATATTGATTGACCTTCTCCGTTGACTTAACCCCACCTCAGAGCTTAATGCACGCGCCACCAAGGAATTCTAAGTCACCACGTGTCTTCGTGTTCTTCAATCGGAGAACGACATCTCTCCAGATCTCAGATCCAACCAACGTGTTGTTCTGTCTCTTCTCCAACTTAACATCACAACACCACAATTCATCGCCAGTTCTCCAGAAAACCAGCAGAGTACCAAAGAAGTCAAGCAGAAAAATCGGCTTTTTAGGAAAGGTTGACAAGCCTTCAACATTCATCATAGTCTCTGTCACTTCATTGTAGAAGGTTAGCCGCTTCCCGTAGAATCTTACAATGATATCTCCAACTAACAAAGTCTTGCAGTAATTTCCTTCCCACATTGAAGGCCTAAGCCCTGAGATCTCTGTCTCCCAGGCCTGACTTGTCAGATTCAGGGAATACTTAAGGCAGATACCAACATCGTAAGCCCAAAACTCTAACCTTTGTTGGTCCGTCGATCCAACCGCTATTACCGTTGCCTCGCTACGCACTTCCGGATCAGGCAAGAGACTCCATGTTTGGGTTTGTGGGTGGTACACTTCAGGGTATAGACCTTGTCCTCCTAGCAAAAAGATGCCATCTTGGAGACCGCCGTATAATCTGATTCCATCAATGAACCTCCGGTGCAAATTCAGGAACGCCGTGTCATCCCAAGCCTTAGTCGCACAGTTAAGTCTTCTCAAATTCAAGACCTCATCCTCATTGCTTCCGATCATGAAGATGGTTGCTCCGTGACTCGCCATCGCTTTAGTCGCCGGAAAAGAAGCATCCGGCATCGGAACTCTGAACAACCAATACCCTGAAGACAGGGTTTCACTGTCTGGTTTCTTGCCCAGTTCATACCACATAGGGTTTGGGTCATCCGAAACAGAATTGCCAAGACACACGTACACCCTTGCCTCCGTCAGGTTGGTTTCCGATCTCACTTGGAACAGGTAGGGGTCTGAAATTGCTGCGGCCATGCTTCTCGAAGTGGATGCTACGGCCCTGTGGCTCAAGGTCGAAACCCTAGTCAAGCATTGAAACGTCATATCAACCCCAAGTTCACGAATTGCCATTGTAACCAGTGAAAGCACAAAGAAGAAGAGAAGAAAGATGGAACCAGATGAAGAAAGAGGAAAGATGAAAGGTGGACTGCAAAACAAAAAAGATCTCTTAGTAGCGAGAAAGACAGAGAGGAGTTTGTTTGAAGAAATAGCCGTTTGTTTGAAGACAGGAATTTCAAATTAAGCAAACCTAGGGTTCGTGTATTTAAAGACTTGGCTGATTCGGGCCTTGGTCTGGGCCAAAACCCTACAGGACACGGCACATGATCAAAGCTTACTTACTCACGTGTTGAAGCTTAAGTCGGTGTACAAGAGACTAGTGCTAACACACCGTTGTTACTACATGCAGGCATTCTCTCGAGCATAGGCAGGTTATTTATATATCTTTAGCCTTAGATGCTATACTTGTGAAGCTGATGATCCTCTAACATTGTGATGTGTCAGTTCAGAGAGTTCCAATGTCCCGTCAGCTTAACTAACCCTGCATTAACATGGTAGTGTTGGTCTTGCTTAAAGTCTCTCACATTGCGGTTTTGGTTTCTTGAATCAATACTCGCTATGCAACACTATCTGCTGCTGTGGTAACGGAGCAAACGTCAGCTTTTAATGGAAAAGAAGCAGCTTTGCTTGTAGATGAGCTCAGAAGCAACGTCAACACCTGGCAGAACAAAGAGCTACGAGTGGAGAATTTCTCAGCTTCAAAACATTTCTAGGATGATTGATGAGAAGGAAGAGATGCATCACCGAAGCTTTGTATCAAGACCTTTCCAAGCCTGAGCTCTTGAAGCTTTTCTAGCTGAGGGTTTTCCATAGAATTTGAATGTCCTTTTCCTTCTGTGCATTCCACTTATCCCACTGCTGAATCACTTTTGGTATGAATTTCGTTTTCTCAGATTTCGAATACAAAAATCGTCATGTATGCTTGCAATCAAAGAGTTGAAGAACTGGATGGCCCCAGAAACGGTAACTAGATCCTTCAAGCTTTGCTGCTTCATTTATATGTGTCCATTCTAAACCACTTGCCTGATCTATGTTTGGACCTTTCAGGTCAAAACTTCTGTGACAACATTTCCCTCGTCTGCACAAATAGTCTCAGAACCGCTTGGAGTTGTGTTGGTTATCTCAGCCTGGAGTTTCCCTTTCTGTAAGCTCAAATTGCGTTTTCGAAAAGTTTGTCTCATTAATAAACAACTAAAGTTTATATGTCTTCATGGTGTTTTTTCTTTCCTTAGTATTATTGTCTGTCGAGCCAGTCATTGGAGCTATTGCAGCTGGTAATGTCTTCTGAAATTGCTCCAGCAGCATCTTCTCTTTTAGCAAAGTTGTTTAGTGAATGCTTGGACAATACAACAATCAGAGTTATCGAGGGAGGAGTCCCTGAACTGAAACAACGGCACTACTGGATCAAAAATGGGACAAGATCTTCTTCACTGGTTTGCCCTCTCTCTTTTTCTTTCAAGAATCTTTGAAATGTCCATATTTGTCTGAGCGTGTATGGGAGCCTGGTAGATTATACTGGTTCAAAGTTTTCAGCGGGATTGTGTAGGAAAGTATTACGGAGTTTATTGCAAAAGATTCAGTGGACGAGTTTAGAGTGGGTTGATGAAATGGGATGTGAAAGAGTTTTGTGCTAGGTCTAAAAAGGGTATTAAGAGGAGTTTTGGCTTTTTTTTTGGGAATTCCGTGAGAAGAAACTAGGGGTCTCTTGTAATTGTATCCATGGACCATGACCACTTTCTTGTTCGCTTAATGAAAAGCAGTAATTCTTGCAAATAATGATTTCAATTTCGTTCAATTACATGTCTAGTTTCTTTCTTGTGCTCTTGAAATTGTGAAGGTTTATTTCTTTTCTATTTTTTGTTTCTTTCTTGTGTTCTATGTAATTAGTAGAGGAACGTGGAATGGTTAGTCCAGTTCATTAAATTATATACAAAATTTGTTTGATTTAGAGTGTTGAGCCACCATCAATTAATATTTTTAATGATTTTATGTATGGGATAGAGAGTGAAATCTTGAGGATATTTCTAGGGAATGCCTATGAATCACTGCTAAGTCGAAGTAGAGAGATCGAATCCATGGCGAGTTTTGTCAGTTCAACGGAAGTCATCGTCCCAGAAGAAGAAACACGTTCTTTGGAGGAAGAGGTCATTAAGCTGATGAAACTTATGAATCTTGAGTCTCTTGGAAACAGAGAATCTCGTTTAACGGGTCTTGATGATGATGGAAACAAATGGAAACTTGTGCGAAAAACTGTAAAACGCAGAGAAAGAAGAGTCGAACGCAATCAAGAATCAGATGTTAAAGAGATATTCAAAACTGCAGCCAGGAAGACTGAGTCTCGGTTCCAGGAGGCTTTGCAAGAAGAATCGTCATCTTCTTCAGTGAAATGGGGTTTTGCAGAGGCTAAAGATGAAGTAGTTTCTCTTGGGATCAGGTTAACTCATGCGCTCATCAAACTCACGTTATTGCGTGTTCATAAGAACGAGAGAGAGAAATAGTTGTGGCTAAGAAATTGGATCTTTGGGGAGTCTTACAAGAAACAATCTGCTTTAATGTACCTGTTGGACTATCTTCTCTACAAGGCCGAAGAGTCGTTCGCCGCATCTGTTCTTATGGAGGAGTGTGGCAATGATCATCATCGTGAACAGATTCCCGAAGAAGAGAGGATCGGAGATGATTGTTTTGAAAGACTTGCTGCAGCCATTTTCAGCATACAGTTGTTAGCGATAAATCTTTCCAAAAATGTTCTTACTGAGAGAGATTTGATTGCAACAGAGATAGAGCTTCTTCAATGTGTTAAGGATGTGAAATTTGTGGAAAGGACCATTGGTGTTCTGATGAAGGGACGGTCTCTTAAGTTGAAGCATAAAGCAAAACAGACTTTGCCAATGAAGGAGAGAACTGAGACTATCTTCTGGACAAAAGTGGATGGAGAGCTGAACAAGTGTTGGGGTGAGTCTTTCTGGGAGTATGTTGCAGCAGCAAGACACTTGGAATCTGTGATTTCATGTCACCGAATTGTTTATACACTCTGTAAGCTTTTCGTTTTCGGGTTTGAATCGTAAGTTTCAGAGTAGGAGAAAGAGTGCTGTTTCTTTTTTGTTGGTTACGTGATCTACAAGGAAGATAGCAACTCATGTACTAACTCATTTTGGCACCTTTCTCTCTCTCTTTTTCTTTTTTGGTGAAACCACTAGAGACATAAGAACAGATCCTTGTAGTCATTATTTATTCATTCAGTTTTGTTGCATTGTTTTCGAACTCAAATGAAATCAAAGAGATGGATCCAAGCAGCTTTTATTTTTCTACTGTTTTTGCATACTCCATTAGAAGACGAGAGTTTTGATATAAAACTTTCTTACATGCCTTCATTGCCATTGCAATTAAAATCTCAATGTTACGTTTAATAAATTGATTTAGGTCAATTTGGGAAAGTTACATTAGCACAATTACGTATCCTATATGCAAAATCTGAAAGTTGAAAACACATTTGCTTGCTAAATTTACACGTCGTTAATACGGATCCTATTATTAACTAAACTGTCTTTGGGCACCTACAAACTTTAAAATATTTCTTGGTGATCTTAAAATCAATTATAAAGTGTAATGTCCAAAACATTTCTTTGGGCATACTCTGAGTTGATTTTGTTTTGCTAGATAGTTTGCAAAACCCCATCTTACTAAAAACCAAAATTTTCAACAAAACTGTCAGAATCAAAAAGACAATTCAAGTATGAAACTGATATACTATCCAGACTGAAACTGAAACAAAATCTATAAGTCTGCAAAGAAATTATTTGTAGAGTTGAGCGTATTCGGTTTACTTTTTGTTTTCCTCTTGCTGCCTGTAAAACCAAAAAAACTCAGAGATCAGATCATATTGTAGGTATCATCTCAAGGAAATGTTTAAGATGTTCCAAAAAGTTTTGCAGGTCTCTCTTTACCTTTGGAAGACTTGTGAGAATCATTGTCAAGGTCCATCCCATCGTTGTCACTGTCACTGTCTCCTGCAGCTCCAGATGCATTCCCCGAGTTGCCATTAGAACCTTCTAGAATCTCTTCTAGGTTCCACAACTTCATCACAAGAAAACAAACATGTAAATCATAACAGTAAGAGCTTGAGTTTAGAGAGAATATATGATACCTTCAGCATACTGTCATGAGCTGTGCTACCGAGAAATTTGTTATCATGCGAGAGAGCTATAAGAGAGATTTTTAACAGAAAAAAAAATTAGAAGTTCGTTCAAAACAAAGTACAATAGTCAACAAAGATAAAAGGTTCTTAGATATAGAGAAGGAAATTCTAAATACCGAGATCTTCGATAGGGTAGTCGTGTGCCCCAATTGGCTGTATGATTCTGTTGGGCAGTATTCCAACAAGGCTGGAGAAACATGTAAATAAAATTTGATTGAAATAAGTGAAGATAAACCAGTTAAGAGCTTTCTTCCATGGAAGCGGAGTTTTTTTTGTTACCTAAGTATTCCATTATCACACCCAGTGATAAGTCTGTCCTCATCGAGCTACAGGATAAATCCACAAGGCTTCCATTAGTCACTGGCACCCTAATGTTACAGTGTCAGTAACCATATGCTTAAAATAAGTGTATCATCTCACCTTCAATAGAGTATCAACTGAGTTTGGAGCTAGATCAACAAACCGATCGCTGTAAATAGGAAAAAACATTTCAGACAGTTAGGTGTCATTACATAGAATCTTTCAATACCTTAAACCTCTAACAAAGGTAGTGTTAGAGATGTATGACTTACCTGCAATCCTTGAAAAATCCCCATGAATACAACAAGAGAGTACCATTCTGAGTTCCACAAATAACTTTACGGCCATTCTGAAATCAATCAAATAAAAGCAAACGATAATACATACATTAGATAAGTAGAAACAATGTGGAGAGAGAAGAGCTTGGGATGACACATCCTGGCTACAAATACTTTTCTGTTTGATAGATAAATTAGTGAATAAACACACAGAAATATAATGGAATTACCTTCATTATAACAACAGAAAGTAGTTCGTCTTCAGAAAATTCAGACTGAGATTGGACCTTACTTGTTCTGAGATTACAGACAGACAGGGTACCGTCTCCACTAAACAGAGTCAAAGAAACCAAAATAAGAAATAAGTGGAAAAGTCTTCTGTAAAAACTCAAAAGACACTAGCTTCACTGAATCAGATGACTACAAAAATCCAAACCTTGTTGCCACTAGCTTCATTGAATCAGATGCAAAGGTCATGCCAGAAATGTAATCCTCGTGTGCATTAAACTCATGAGAGCAAGAGCGCTGTCTTGTATCCCAAACCTGAGGATATGAACATACAGTATCAGAAAACAAAGCACATAACTTCACTCCAAAAGAGTAATGCCCCAAAAGAAAATTGGGAAAGAAATCTTCCAGGGAATTACTAAGTTCTTGAGGCAGAAGACACACACACACACACACACAACTATAAATACTAAGGAACACAGAACCTAATTCTTCACTCACAAAAATTATAGAGCTATCATCAGAGTAAGTTGGATTATAGTTGCTTTACAATATTTCTAATGATTAACGACGAAAGAGAATGTAACAGACCTTAACGCAGCCTTTATCATCTCCTGAAGCGATAGTTGTCTCAGTAACATTAATCAAAGTATTAACAGCATCCCTAGAAGACCAATGCCAAATATTCTCAATCAATAAACCAATTACCAGTCAGCTAAAATGAATCCAATTTTAAAAAAGAACAGAGGAATTGCATACTCGTGAGCATTCTCAAGATGTGCAACCTTAGCACCAGTCTCTACATCAGTTGCTAGAATTGAGCAATCAGCTGAAGCTGTGACGATTCCTAAAACCCAAAAAAAACATATAAGTTAGAGCAGAGCTCAAATATGATGAGCTCAAATAGTTGGAAGTATAAAGGAACAAACTTTGGCCATCATCAATGAACCGAACAGCTCTACAAGACTCCTTATGGGCACGAAATTTACGTTCCCTACACAAATTCAGCGATTCTCTTAGTCTGACCCACAACGAAAGAGACAAACTTTGGAGATGGAAAGAGCGTTTTAATACCTGACAAGTGAAGAATCTGAGTCGTATCGGTATCTGCAAAAGAAAAGGTTTGAAATTACATAGATTGTTGATGATTCTTGTTGAATTGGAAATCGAAGGAAGAAGCAAAGAGAAGGGCTTTTGAAGGAATTACAGATGCAAGTGGCCATCGATGAGACCAGCAGCTACTAGATTCGTCGATGGATGGAAGTCGATACCGAAAGCGTTAGCTCCCAAATCGATCTCCATCACTAATTACAAAATTGTATGTAGAGAGAACTCACAAGTGAACAAAGAATCCGTCGCGCCGAATTGAGTAGGGTTTAAGGTTTTTCGAGAGATCCTCTGTTTTTTTATTTTGCAATTAGGACCCTCGGATCTATTTGACTAGTGTTTTGGGTTCCTCTATTTTCTGATTTTACAATTAGGACCCTTTTTTCTTTCTTACAAAAATATTTTGAGCATTTCTTGCCTCTTCTAATATCCACCTTATAGAATTACTTCACCATTCTTCTCTTTTATGGAGAGTGTTTTTACAAGTTCAGCGTCGAGGACGCTACGAGCTCAAAGCTTTGTTGGCTAGCCGTAGATGGAAGAAAAACTATTATTATCTTCGGTTTTCAAGAAAAATCAAGAATTGAAAATCGATTTTAAGTCGATCAATTTCAGAGTCTCATTCTGAAGAAACTTCAGATTATCTTTGGAGATATTATTGTATCTTTTGGTTTGTTAAATCTAAGTAGGTTGTTAAAAAAACAAGAAAACAAAAAAGATGAGTGGATACATTTAAAAATCGAAATAAACTTTTTCTAAAACTATAGTAAACATTAGATTTAGGAAAAATAATCTATTTTTAAAACTTTTTAAGGTTTGAGTAAACGCATCAAAACTTTAAAAACAACCGGAGTTAAATTGCTAAATATTTGATCAAGTAGGTTTGTTTTTATGAATCTCTTATTTAGAGCATTATACGTTATGCTCATAATAACTTAACTAATTAGGTAAGTTTCACCAACGTTGTATCATAGTTTTTGCATTTCCGATCAAACAAGCTCTTTCATTATTTTGTAGCTTGTCTTGTCCACTTTTAGTATTCTTGAGGCTGCAACTTGTCTATATCAAAGTTCATCCGACTCTTGTTTAGATTCACACTACTACCTTTGATCATCTGCACGATGTTCTTTCTTTTATTAAGGGTGTCAATATTTTGTGGATGTGAAAATTACTCAATGATGGATATTCATATTGACATTGAGATGATTAAGCAAGGTGATCCCTACACATAACTACCATTAAGACTGGATCAATACAAAAGTATCAATTCTTGACTTAGAATTAGGATTCCAACCGAAGATACCTACTAAACTAATCAACACAATGATAAGGCACAAACTTAATTAATAGAGTAAGATAACACAAATTGGGATGAATATAAACAGGGGTACAGTAACAGCTAGTTTATGATGATTAAGCTACCAGTGTCGCAAAACCTGTTTTTTTTTTTAATTTCAAAATAAGCCCTGAATTACGAAATGTCCAACTACTTTTTTTAACTTTGGACATCAGATACCAAAGGCATAATTATCAAACAATCAAACTTCGTTAATTAAAAAATAAAATCTGGAAGAGGTCAGATGGTAGTGCATGTCATTGATTCAACACTATAATTCAGATTTATAGACTTTGGATAATTATCCTCATTCCTCTTCTCTTCTTTGTTAAAAAAGATTAAAAATACTTTAAGTCAACATTTTGTAATCCTTCTGAAAACTACCTAGTTATACCTAGGCTATATATAAAACGAGAACGATTGGTGGTGCTGTAAGAAATCAGATAATGAAGTCAATCACCATATTGCAAACATCGTAATGAATGCAAATAAGACTGGGGCGACAATTACATATCATCACTTTCCTCCAACAGCAAAAAGAACCAAAAAAAAAAGAAGAGAAGATGAATAACGATATTGAGACAGAACTATACGTAAGAAAAAACCTTAATCTGCTGAAAAGGGTGGTGGACACAAGTGATTTAAGGTTTAATGTGAAGCCTCACCATTATATAACGTTACCCTAGTTTAGGGTTTCACATTAAAACAGAAACGGCCTTGTTTTTGTCATCACTTGGGCCTTTGTCGAGTTGATTGATTGATGATGATGATGAGGCCCATGTTTCTTCATTTCTTTTTACAAAAAAGCTTCACATCCATCCATTATCTTTTAGCTGTTTTTAACTTTTCATATTGAGAATTTGATATAGGCATACTTAGAGATAGTAAGAGGATGGTAAACTGAGTTGGTGGACGGACCACATAGTTTCTTTCATCCTATACACATAGGACCGGCCTTGAGGGGAACCGGGCGAAACATTAGTTTTGGCTCCTAAATTTTAAAGAGCTAATATGAATAGATCATAAGACCCCCAAATCATAAATTTTTTATATAGATCATCGACCACCAAAATTGTAAATGTTTTTGGTTCCACAAAACTCAGGGCCGGCTCCACACACAAGATTTGGACGAAACTTTGATTTTGGCACATAAATTTTAAAGAGCTTATATGCATAGATTATCAAGTTTCTAAATTGTAATTTTTTAAAAAACTATAGATCATCGATCATCAAAATCGTAAATATTTTCTTTCCCACAAAATTTAGGGTCGGCTCGTAATTGCGATTTTACGATAAGATGATTTCCGAATGAGAATGGACAAGACAAAACATTTTCCCCATTTCTCATATATGATTTTACATATGAATGGGGTTCGGATAGAGACATAGAATTACACTTACACACCAAGTTGTACTATGCAACTCTAGTTGATCTATGTTTCAATACTTATATTCCAACGTAGGTACTCAGCTACTACAATTCTCTAGTTGAGGCTGATTATGTCGTAAAGGTAATAAAAGTACTCTATTTGATGTAATGAAATTGATCTTATCTAATAAAGTGTACTATCCTTTTGTCAAATAAAAAAATCGAAATGGATAATATAGAAATCGAACACAAAATGATTATGAGTCTTAAGACAGTAAAAGAAAAGTTGGATAAGTCTTAATGATTGATGTACGACTTAAAAAGTTAAAAACGAAACTTTTGTTGTTTATGCTAAAAGCCTAAAACCAGCTCTTCTTCGTCGTCGTCTTCATTTTTCTTCTTTTCGCAACAGTAAAGGCAAAGGAGAGAGGCTTCGTTTTTGCTCAGATCTGATAGGGAGAGAGAGTTAGACGGAGAAAATGAGCGGCAAGATCATCGTCGGAGATGGTAGGAGTGTTGGTATTAGGAACGGGATTTCTGATATTCCGTCAGGGTCGAAGAAGATGGTTCAAAGTTTGAAAGAAATTGTAAACTGCCCTGAGGCAGAGATCTATGCCGTGCTCAAGGACTGTAACATGGATCCTAATGAAGCCGTCAGTCGCCTCCTCTCCCAAGGTCTCTCCTTTCTTCTTTTCTAGGTAGTGATTGGGTTAATTGGGCATCGCAGATAGTTAGGGTTTGCTTTGAACGCTCAAGGGTTACTGATATTTTGTGTTGATTAGGTTTAGGTTTGGGTGTTTTCATTAGATTCTCATAAAGTTTTGTCTTTTCAGCGTTTAGTCCTTCTCGTTGAGCTGATAAGCCATTTTGCCTTCAATTTTAAACTCTTGTGTAGCTCTATCATTTTCGGATGATTGTTTTCGCTAATGTCTTTTCATGATACTGAATCAGATCCTTTTCACGAGGTGAAGAGCAAAAAAGATAAGAAGAAAGAGGTATGATCATATGTTTTTGTGTCCTGTGTTGGCATTTTAAATTTGAAACATAGTAAAACCAATTTGCACCTTTGTTTTCAAGAGTTATGCTCAAACCATGTGATTGATGCCACCGGCCTGAATACTTGATCCTAGATACCGTTTTGGTTTCAGTTAGTTTACATTTCATTTTTGTTTTAATTTCGGAGAGTTTATATGTTTACTTGCTGTTCAGATTAGGGATATACCGGATTCCCACCGACGAGGCTATAGTAACAATTACAACCGTGGGATTAGAGGTGTTTCTGATCGTTATGCTGGACGAAATGGAGCCACCCCTTTCAGCTCTAGTGGTATATTATACATGGCTTTTTGGATTTAGAATGTAACTTACTTAATTCTAGCTGTGAATCCCTGTTCTCATGTTTCTATTGTTCAGACTCAGGAAGCTTCCAAGGAAAAACTACTAACAAGAGGGAGAGCGGGATGCAGACTCATGCAGGTTCTTATTCTTCTACGTCTGGCGTATCGAGCCACCATCAGATACCACACAGGTTTTCCTTTGAATGATCAATTCATTTTTCTTGTCTGCATAGCTGCATGATGCAGCAATTGTAATGAAAAACCAAGACCCTGTCTGAATTAAAGAGACCATGATATGGCATAAATAAAGATCATAGGGTAGTATCAAAATCCATATATATCTTAGGACTGTCTGAAAAGAACACACGAAAAAGTCTATATGCTGATTATAATCAGATTCATTCTTTTTGTTTAGTGCCTCAACAATATTCTGTGCTGCTTGTCTTCAGAAGGATGTTATTTCTCTGCAGAGATGCGAGTTTTCTTGTTCCCACCTACATATGTGGCAGATAAATGACGTTCTTTCTGAAAACAAGCAGCACCGGATACTCCTCTGCAGTAGAATTAGCTTGTGGCCCATAGTTGAGGCATTAAGCTATAAATCTGATTAGGATCAGCAACTGTGTGTTTAAAGGAAAACTTTCTTCTGCCGATCCAATGTATTTTGATACTATCCTGTGTTCTCTTTTTTTCTCTTTTTTTTACAAGTTGAATGCAACTGGACAAGTCAGTAGCTTAAATGATTGAGTTGGTAGGATTTAGTTATTAGGCTTTCAGACCAACTATTGCAGAGTGGCTACACTGATAAATAGAGCCTTAATTGATTCTGACTCTGAATGACTTGAAGTATTTAGGTGGCCTATGGCTCAGTGGTAGAAGTACAGAGTAATCTTAGTTTATCATCTGGATTCTTGAATACTACCTTTTGATAATGTTTAAAAGTATTATGCTGATGCTAAGCTATCTTCCATGTACAGTTGATGTTTGATTTGGTAGAAAAAGTGAAAGTTTTTAGCAAAGTGAAAATGTATGTACTTGTATAGAGTTCTTATGAAAAAATCTTGCACCTCTAGTGAAAGGTGTCAAGACCTTACTTTGCTGTGCCATATTCCACTTTTCCTTAATGTAGTTTTCCTACTTTTGCATCTTTGATAATTATAGTTTTGTGCATCTGTACATTCGAGTCTCAGGTTGCTCATGTATTCTATATATATATATATATATATATATATATTTTGCAGTGATTCTGTTGCTAAAGAAAGTAAAACGCCAATTGTTACCTCGGGTGGTGAAATATCATCATCACATTCTGTTACTGGACATCAAACTGCATGGTTTGGAGCTTCAGGTCAGCTGTCTATGGCTGACATTGTGAAGATGGGTAGACCTCATAACAAGACAACAAACTCTCAGAAAAAAGTCGATATGCGTTCTGAGGTAAATCACGAGCATGAAAATGCTGCAAATCAACATGTACCTGTGAAAGATGAATGGCCCTCGATTGAGAAGCCACTGGCTGCTAGCACTTCTTCTGTGTCAGTAGCACCAACTGAGTCAGAGATATGCAATAGTCCAGCAGATTTCCAATCCAGTAGAAGAGATCAACATCCGAAGGGCCAGTTGGAAGACTCACATTTAAAAGAAAATGGTCCCTTTGGGAATCTTGGAAGAGATCATGTGCAGCCTGACACTGTAGCTGGTGGAGCTGTTCAGGAAGATGACTCTGGAGTGTCATCTGAGTATGATGATAATCCTTACAGATACCAAACACAGAAAATCCCTGTTGAGCACCCGAAAGGTAAGAATTTGTCTCTGCAACTTGATCATATTAGATGCCGGGGGTTAGTGAAAGTATCTTGTCTGGTCTTTGGTTTCAGATTTTAATATTAAGGTTGACTAGACTATATATTTTGTTTGCTCTTGATGTTGTCTTATATACTCGGTCAATATTCTTTTGCAGATGAAGACGAAGTTTTGTCTGTTGCTGCCAACCTTCAAGACTTGAGCATAGAGAACCATGATCAATACTCCTCTCATGATGATGATAGACCTGCTGTCGTGATTCCAGATCATCTGCAAATTCATACAGAAGAGTGCTCACAGTTAAGCTTTGGAAGTTTTGGAGGCTTTGGATCAAGGCCTTTGAGCAACAGCTTAGAAGAGGCTTCTGATGTAGCTCCACAGATTGAACGTACTGATGCTAGGTATGCCCTCATTGCTGATTTTCCTTTTCCAAATAGTTTCTGGGCTCGTTTCCTTTATACTCACCATTAATTGATCGTCTTGTCCACAGAAATTCGGAGTTCTATGGAGATGAACATCTAGGAAGCATGTCCAATGGGCATATGGTCCATGCGTCTACTGCTGACAATTATGATGATTCTTCAGAATCTCAGCGAGAGGTTTTGTTGCCAGAAAACCCTGAAACCGCTCATCAGGAGAACCATTACTCGTTTGCTCAGTCGGATCCAGATTATGCATATGAAAATACCAAGCAGCAGCTGGATAATGCATTTGATGCCTCACAGACAAGCATGACTAAACAGATGCAGCATCTTGCTTCATTAACAAATGTGATGGTAAGCTCGTTCCTAAGTGTCCAAGGTTAAGAGAACCTCCTTTTATATTATAAAGATCTATTAATATGGATCGCTGTTTAAAATTTTATCGAAAAGGTAGTTTCAGTTGTGTAGTTTTGTATGATGCTAATGATACATCATTGGTTTCAACAATTTGGTTTCAGCAAGGGTATACAAACTCAATTCCAAACACTCTATTGGCACAGACAGCACAGAGTGCAAGGGAGCTTGAACTTCAGTATTCCTCTTTCCCAGGCGTACAGTCTATGCCGTCAAGAAGCAACGATACCACACTAGGTGGCCAAAGCATTTCCATGCCAGAGGTGACCCTTTTACCTGTAGACTGAAATGTTTCTTCTAATCAAATAACATAGCTTTGTTTTCTTTTGGCTTTTTTTTTGGGAATTCCGTGAGAAGAAACTAGGGGTCTCTTGTAAGTTGTAATTGTATCCATGGACCATGACCACTTTCTTGTTCGCTTAATGAAAAGCAGTAATTCTTGCAAATAATGATTTCAATTTCGTTCAATTACATGTCTAGTTTCTTTCTTGTGCTCCTGAAATTGTGAAGGTTTATTTCTTTTCTATTTTTTGTTTCTTTCTTGTGTTCTATGTAATTAGTCGAGGAACGTGGTGGTTAGTCCAGTTCATTAAATTATATACAAAAATTGTTTGATTTAGAGTGTTGTGGTTATATTTTCTTGCATGCAGGCACTCAGAGGTGGGGGTGGTGTTGCAACAACCCAGTCAAGCCAGCAGAACTTACCCGGTGCCAATATTGCAACTGGACCAGCAATTCCTCAGCAGATTGCAATGCATCCATACTCTCAACCCACATTGCCTCTGACTCACTATCCCAACATGATCAGTTATCCTTTGATGCCTCAGAGCTACCCGTACATTCCATCGACTTTCCAGCAAGCATTTGCTGGTAACAACTCATACCACCAGTCACTTGCTGCTCTGCTTCCACATTATAAAAACAACACTTCCGCCAGTAATTTGCCTCAGTCAGCAACTTCCCCTGCTTCCTCCTCTGCCTATGGGGTTGGGAACTCGAGCAATGTTGAAGCCGGAAACTTCCTTCTTAACCAACATGTCGCTCCTACTGGGGCAACACTTAGTTATGAAGACGCCCTGAGTCTACAATACAAACAGAACAATTATCTATTGTATCTTCAGCAGCAGCAGCATCAACAACAGCAGCAACAACAGCAACAACAACAACAACAACAACAACAACAACAGCAGCAGCAACAACAACAACAACAGGTAATTGTTTCTCATTTTGACACTTGCAAAAGATATTGGTTTTGAAATTAAACGTGAAACTGTTTTATCTCAGAATGAAAACTTTCCTATGTGGCTAAATGGACCTGGCTCTCAAACCATGTCGGGTGTCCCGAGCAACACATATTACAACCTTGAAGCACAACAACAAAGTCAGCAGGTTCGCCAAGCTCAGCAACAGGCGCAACAGCAGTATGGATACCCAAACTACTATCAGTCACAAACCGGAATGTCAATGGAGCACCAGCAGCAAAACCCAAGGGATAGTGGCTCGCAAGGTCAGCCCTCAAAGCAAACCCAGCAGCAGCAGCAGCTCTGGCAAAACTCTTACTAGCGATCTAATGTAATATAATGTAAAACATATGGAAAACACTTAGATTAAGATTCAAAGTCTTAGATACACTTTTTTTTAACTAACTTGATGCAAACCATTGTACAAATTGATGCGACCTAAAAAAAAGTCTTAGATACAATTTGTTTTTTACCAGTGTGAAGATGACTGACTCGATACTGAATTGTCACCGAATTGTCATTTGCGTTTCCATTCAGACAAACAAGCTATACAACCGATTGTATCAATAAACTTCTAGCTTATTACATAACATAATATTTATAGGCAATACATAAACATCGCTTAACAAAACTCTTATTATCTTCCCCATTAACATTATTAAGGCTTATGTGCATATATATGTATGTAAGATCACAACACAGATACAGGTATAGAGATGGGTAGAGAGACATGGGTTCTAAAACTCCCTTCTCTATTACCAGACCGCATCATCGCTGTGTTTTCGCACCCCTTACGAACCAAAGCGAGGAATGAACTCGCTTTCCGCTTAGCTCGATTTGTACCCGTGAGCAAAAGCTTTTGGGTTAAATCAGAAAGAGCCGGTGCTCTCACCACCTTCTCCACCACAACCGTTCCACCGTTTATGCAGAGATGTAACAAAGTAGCAACCGCATTTTCTTTGCCTCTTGGTGTTCCACATCTCATCAATTCAATGAGTCCAGCCACAGCTGATTCCTCTCTCCCTATAGTCTCTGCTCCTAAAGAATGATTCGCTACTACCCCCAACACTACCGCCGCTCTCTCCGTCACAGCCTCGTCCTCGTCAGCCAAAGCTCCTATGACAGCGGACACTCCTCCCGAGTTGATCATCTGGCTGCAATTATCCGGATGTGACCATATGCCATATAAAGCGTTGAGTGCATCTTTTTTCCCTCTCGGCTTTCCATTCCGCGACAGCGATGCAAGTGATGTGATGCAGCCATCTACATTTGCGATCCGTTTCTTATATTCATGTACTGTGGAAAGACTATACAATGTGGCTGCTGCGTTTCCTTGAGCTTCCAAAGTAAGACCTGAGGCGACAACGCACACAATCGACTCAAGGCAATCATTTTCCTCCATGATCAGGCTTCTGTTTTCCTCGCAGACAGACAAATTATGCATCGCTGTAACGGAATGCTCTTGCACAACAGCGTTTTTGGATTTAAGAAGCCTATGCAAATGCGGGATTGCACCTGCTTCCCCGATCAATACACCTCTTTTCCTAACTGTTTTGGCTAGAAGACGAATTTCTCGTGCCGCCACTATCTGAGCTAACTCTGACCCACCAGCTAGATTTTGTATGAGAATCGACACAGTGGCTTTAGTTGCTTCCATTGAAGCTCTTGTTTGAAGAACTAAAGCAGGAGACTCGTTTGGTGAATCCTCAAACTCCATTGCTGCGCACCAACGCGTTATCAAGTTTCTCAAAGCTAGATTAGGAACAATACACGAAGAGTCGACATGCTTTTGCCCTGTTTTAGGACAAGTAGAGTGACCTTCTTCAAACCACCTAACTATGGAGCTCCGATCATAAGTTTGTCCAGTGGAAACAATCACAGGATCCTTCATCAAACTAAGAGAGATAGAGCAAACAAAATCCTTTGGTAGCGTCATAAACGTATCCACAATCTCCTCCGCAATTAAACATTTCCTCTGTTTCTTCGAGTTCTCGATAATCCACTCCATTCCATCATCTTCAAACCCAAGCAACAAAAACATGCAATAACGTGTGATAGCCACAAACCCGTTAATCAACGAGCTTGTAGGCTCCAAATCATCACAATCGTGATTCACAATCTGCTCTTCAAGAAACTCGATTTCATCTCTGCAACTTTTCGGATCACTAATCTCCAATTTCTCAACGAAGAAAGATCTCAATTCTCCCGAATTGGGTATCTGACCCTTCTCAAATCCGTGGAGAAACGAATAGAATTTGTGCCGTAGCAATTCGTCGTTGTGATCAACGAACAGTGTCGTCGATTTACTGGATTGTTGATGCAAAAGCTCGATTTGTTCTCTAATGTCGTCGCTTAGATTAAGACTGTTGATGGGTAAAACATCCAAAAGGGTCACAATATCACGATTCAAAACATGGAAAAAATCTGAAAGCGACTGGTTTTGTAGTAAGAGCCATAGTTTACTGGACTGAGCACAGTAATGGAGAAGGAATTTGGAACGGTGGAGGAAGAGAAAGAGCTCCTTAAAGCAAAGCACTGCCGTCGAATCCAAACCTGAATCATCGGAGATGTATTCAAACAAGACGAGCAAGACCTCAATCTTCCGAATCAGAGAACGTGAGTTTCTGCGTTGGAAGCAGAAACGTACGCCGCGGAAGCACGAGATGATTTCTGCTGAAATTGAAGCTAAGGTTTGAATGAGAGGGACGCCGGAGAGATTAACGGTTGTTGTCAAAAATGCATCCAGTGACGGCGAGCTCCTCCGTCTTAAGGATGCGAATATCGCCTCCGTGGCCATGTTGACGATGGATGGCTCCGAAACCAGTGTAGCTTGTCAAATCAAAGAACCGTAAGATCTCATATCTGTGTTAAAGACTTGGACTGTGTAAGAACAACGACAACAAATTTATTTGCGGGTGTGAAGAACAAAGAAGAAGAGATTTGTAAAACGCGTTTGGCAAAATCTCAAAATATTTCTTCGTTGTTATGAATGTTGACATTAAAGTGAAAGTATGTAACATTGTAACGGATCATAATTAGTCACACTTACCATTCTCTGTATTAGCTGGTAGTTGAGATCAATTATGTACCGTTGATGTTTATTGGTGTCAAAACCATATTGTTCACAAATTTGAAACCCACTGATGCAAAGTATGCTACGAAAAACATTTCACATTGGCTGGCACCAAAAGATAAATAAATTGCTTTGAATTCAAAACTGTAAAATTGTTTATTTGGTCAAGAGTGAAATTCCTAGAAACATACATTAGAAAAGCGTCTATCACATAGGTTTTTTTAACTTTTAAAAGTAACAAAAAAACATAAATGACTAAAGAGAAAATTTCGTTTGAACAACAAAAAAAAAGTAGTCTACCCCAAAGTGCCACCACAAATTGTCTGTTTGAGGTGGGCACAGAAGCTAAAGCCTCTTCTGCTCTGCTTTTTGTCTCAGCAAAGTTTTACACCTTCTTCAAGCTAACTTAGAACCCGAAGAAGCCGAGCTCACTGGCTTTTTCCTTCTCAAAGGTCTCGAAATACTGGTATATGATCGTGACCGCCAACAGAATTCCAGTTCCCGACCCGATGGCTCCCATAAAATCAGCCAGAACTGTGAGTGCACCGATACACACTCCTCCAAAAGCTGCTGCTGTTGGGATATACCTGTTCAGTTCCTTCTGCAAGTTTGACTCTCTGTGTCCTGGCATCACCATTTGTTGTTCCTGTGACATTTAATTTTCAGAGTCAGAGATCCAACATCATGTAAACATTCGGGTAATATATATCAAGCTGTTATGATTTTATTACCTTTAGCTGCTTAGCTACATCCCTAGCAGAAGATCCAGAGACTTCAATCCATGTCTTTGAGAAAAGAGCACAAGCAGTGAGCATGAAGACTATGTAGAACAGTGCATGGAACGGGTGAGCTGCCATGTCAGAGAAGCTGCAACCACATAGTAACATATATTCATCAAACTCAGTTGATGCATAACAATTGTTAATCGATTTGAACGAATATTGAAAGACACTGCTGCATTACCTTGCTGGAGCTGTGATGAGGTAAGCCAGACCACTAACTGGAATGGATTGCCCACTGTACTCAGATTCTTTCCACTGTCCCAAAAGGTTTACAAAGAAATTTCCGCTGAACTTCCTGTAGAGAAGCTGTTGACCACAAGGAGGATATTTAATGTCACCACAATGTCATTGTGGAGATAAGTCACATACCGTGGAAGTGGAAAGAGTCTGTACCTGAGAGATGAAGTAAAGATTTGAGACAAGAGCGGATTGGAGGATGATGGGCATGTTAGAGGTGTAGAACAGCTTGATTGGGTAAGAACCCTGTTGTCCACGGGCGTTCTTTGATCTCACAGGCAAAACCACACGGAAACCTTGGAAGTAGATCACAATCAGGAAGATCAAGACTGTGGCAAGCAAGTTGGTAACATTTGGAAGGTTTTGCCGGTAGAAAGCTTGGCGGAGAGCCGCAACCTTGTTGGACTTGGTTATCAGCATATGGAACAGTGCAATAACAGCACCTTCAAACTCAGCTCCACGCCCAGTGTTGATGGTAGTTGGGCTAAATGCCTTCCAGATAATGCTTTCACTGTGTATCATCAATTAAAATTATAAGAATCATGTTTATTAAAAAGGATTATGTGCTAGGGATCCAAAAGGAAAGGAAATGTTTTATAAAATGAGGAAGAACTTAACCTACCAGATGTTGGTGGCAATGAAAAGGGAGATTCCTGATCCAAGACCATATCCCTTTTGAAGGAGCTCATCAAGGCAGATAACAATGATTCCAGCAAAGAAAAGCTGGAGGATGATCAGAATGGCATTTCCAACACCAAGCTGTCCAACGGGACCATACATTCCAGAAAGAACATATGCAACAGCCTCTCCGATGGCAATCAGAATACCTAGAAGCTTCTGAGCACCATTCCTACAAAACAAGTACCAACACAGAATAAGAACTCACACGACCACAGCCTTAGGGTGTTCCAGAAACAGCTCAATACATTCAAACCAGACATCAAAACAGTTCGACAAAACATGTAATGTAATGCCTATATAATTCATAATGGGAAAAAACACTTACAAGAGGGCACGATCCTCACGGACATTGTTGTCAACCTCAATAATCTTGGAACCAGCCAAGAGTTGCATCACAAGTCCAGATGTGACAATAGGAGTAATACCAAGCTCCATGACAGTTCCACGGTTGGACGCAAGAATGACACGCATCCAATAGAAAGGATCCGCACCAGTCGTGGAATGGATTCCATAAAGAGGAAGCTGACTGCAGACAAGAAAGATGAAGAGAGAGATGACAGTGTAGATAACCTTCTCTCTGAATGGCACCTTCCTGTCAGCACTCTGAACCTCAGGCAAAAACGCAAGGAATGGCCTCACCAAATGCAAAACTCTAAATCCTCCTCCCATTCTAGTATCCGATCAACTTTATCTGCTTCTGTAATAATAAATCACAAATCACTCCAAAGTAAGCTATACAAATCCACACGCATGCACCACATTCATGACATAATCTAGCTACAAAATTCACGAATCACAGTTTTCGCAGCTAAGTAACTACATTAAATCAATGAATCTGAACAATTTCGTAAACTGAGTCAATCATTTGACTCAGTCGATCTAAAAACCAGATCTACCATAACTTCTCCGATCTACATCGTATATATACATATAAATCCGATACAGATCTAAGAACAGAGATCAACAATCACACAGATCTGATTTGCAAAAGAGAACACAGATGCCAAAGGACTCACAAATGACGATTGGAGAAACGAAAACATTAAAGGAGAAAGCAATTGAGGGAATTGGAAGAAGATAAAAGGAGGAGGAGAAGCTTACGAGAGATGTGTATGAAGAGAGAAATAGAGACCGATCAGCTCCGAAACCAATGGCTTCGATAAATTATTTATTTTGCGTTCCCCTTTCCTACGGAGAAAGAGCGTTGTAGTTTTGATGGTCAACCAAAGACGAAGGTCACCTTATAATCCTTTTTTCAATAATTTTTTTTTTCTCAGGGTATTGCCAAATCGTGGCGACGCGAGAAAAAATATGCTCGACACGATAGTATAACGAATCAGTGTACGCCACGTAAGCTTTAAGTTTTTTTTTTGAGATACAGATTGGGCCGATGTTTTGTTTTGTAAGGCGGGTCAAATGGGCTTTTGGATTTGTGTCGACATAAACAATTAGTCCAAATCTAACAACCACCTAACATCTGTTTTTTGGACGGCAACAATTTTACAATTTTCACTTGATAAAATGTGTTTCTTCTGATAAATTTCTCAAAGACACAAAGCTTGTGAAAGCCTTTGAAGATCAACAAGTGCATTTTATTGTATGTCCCAGTTTTTCTCAATCTCTCTTCAGGCACACAAACATATATGCATCTGATCCTAACACCAAACTACAAATGTTGATATAAAGTTTTCTTTGGGATCCAAAGTGTTTCCGAGAACATAAAAGACTGTTTTCTAAACAACTCCTACTCAAAAGTTTTTCTTCATCTGCAAGAATCATCCCTCCAAAATTTTATCCCTGCATCAATTGGATAACTCACTTTAACTCAAAACAAACAACAGCAAAACAATAAGTGCTAACAGGATTGATTAAGTCTTTTACCTCATTTGAAAGATGTCTCTTCTTAGGTTTTCGTTCAGCAGAACCACCTGCAGCAACTGAACTGCTATTTGTTTTCATCATTTTCTTCAGTTTATCCTGACAGAAAACAAATGTGTTATATTGGAATTAAGATTCAATCCAAAACCAAGTGAATGATCTTTGATTAATAAAATCCACAAGTTGACAAACCTGTAAGAACTTCTTCACGAATGGAAGGACCACCAACCGATACTCAACTGCTGATAGCTTTGGGAATACATCTATTAGCTTTTTGTACGTAGATTTGTTCCGCAAAATCTTTGAATCAATCAAAGGGAACTGCAAAAACACTCCTCATATCAGCCGTCACAGATCAAATCTTGTTCAAATGAATTAAAAGAAAGAAGAGAAAGAAGAAAACCTTCTCTTTCAGCGATTTCTTTAACGTCGACAGACTTTTCTTAACATCATCATTTGGGACAGTAGTAGAGCGTTTGGATATACACTCCTCCTTATCTTCTAATACTTCAAAACTTGGAGAGCTTTTTCTTTGAAAAACATCTCTTACAACAGTCAAGAAACATTTTGTATCATCATCTTGCTTACCTACAAGCTCCTCACATTTCATTCGAAGCACAGACTCATATGTGCTCCGCTGATTTTCATTCTTCCTAGAGTCTTCTCTGTCACAAATGGTCTTAGCCTCATTCAACATCTTCTCATAGGTTACCATCATGTGTCTCTTATCATAGTACCTTTCCATTTTCCTAACCACACACCGTACTATTCTCAAAGCTGCTAACCATAGCTCACGATTGTGTACACCCTTTGCCATTTGAGACACAAAGTCCTGACCGATTTCTGGGCAGTCAAAAATCCAAGAGACAATCTTATCACCCTTAGGCATCACATCCTCATAGATTCCAGTGGATTTATAATGCTCTACTGTCCCTATATTATCCGATTCAATCTCTTCTTCATACAACAGTCTCTTGTCCAGAAGCAGATTATAAGTAGTAAGTCCCTCAAGATCGATTCTTTCCTTGACCTGGGAATTTTCCCAGAACTGATTCACTACTTTTGAAACCAAACTTGCTCGAACATCAGTGGTGAGCTGTCTAAAATATTTGAGGATGTGTTTAAGGTGCTTAAGATCTAAGAAGCAGATGCATTGAGGGTTCTTAAAGAAGCTACATTTATCAAGATAGATCCCAGGAACTCCAGGTAGATCCAGATTCTCTTCTGTGTAATCTACCAACCAGTCCCAAAGGGCACATGAAAGAGTACGATTCTCCTTGGCACAAGAAGATTTAAGAACCTCGGAAAACTGTTTGAGTATGTTTTCCCGGTCTTTATCATTCGTTACAGGCCAATCACTACACCATCCATTAACATAAACTAACTCTTTCCGGCTCTTAGTTCTATCCTTGATCAGATTTGCTGCCTTCTCTGTATCAACTGGCTTCCAATCCCCACAGCATATCATGTCAGCCAAAATCTCATCCACATACTTAGGACGAGCACTGAATTTGGGTTCAGATGTGTGCACATGGTTATCTAAGATGTGCATCTTGCAATCTGTAAAACAGTAGTTTACCTGAGAACAAATGTGGCATTTCCAGCATCTCCATCGAAGATTATTGGCGATGGGTACACATAGCTGAAAATGTTTTTTTACTTGCGTCCCATGGTTATTCTCTATAGGCTATAAGATTTCGAAAGTCTACTACCAAAAATCCCCTTTTGGTCTTGTCATCCAATTTAACCCAAAAGTTCTTCAATCGATCAAAAGAAGGATCTTTCTTTATCGTTACCATCTGATTGGCCGTAGTACCTGTATGATCAGAAACAGTCACAGGCGCCTGCATCTTCTCTGTTGCAAGATGATACAATTTCTCAAGTTCTGTCTTTATCTTGCCAAAATAGAAAACCTCCACAGACATTCCTTGAGGTAGCGTTACTAACAGTCCCCGTTTTGCTTTGGACACAGCCTTCTTGTAAAACTTTTTTATCCGAAGCTGATCACCCAACTTGATCATCGAACGAGCATAGCCAGGAAAGGAGCTCATAGCGTAAGGATACAGAAGAGTAGCCATTGAATAAGCATCGACAGAAGCAAACAAGTATACACATTTGAGGTCGGTGTCATCTGTATTCATCGCTTGGTAATAGAAGATATCACCTTGCAGTTCGTGGTGACTAAAACACTTTTCATGATTCCCATGATCAGAAATCGTTTTCTCTATTAATTCCAAAGCTCGAAAGCGGTTACGTTCGACCCAGAAGTCTCTAGCAGCAACTTTGGCTGCATCGCTGATCTTGCTTTTTGTGTTTTCGTCGTCACTTTGCCCTGAACTCTTCGTCATCATCGTACCCCAGGGGAGTCAAAATCTTCTCGAGAGAAAATGGTGGGTGTCTTTGTCTTTCAAGAAAATGGGAGACTGAGAAAGAAAAGAGGAAAAATGAGGTTAACTTTTCTTGAGAGAGTATTGTTCTGTTTACGAGAAGAAAACAGAGTAGAGGCGTTTTATGTAACTTGAGCCACAAGGAAGAGATAAAGAAACGGTCAGGTGCATGGCACGTGATCTTCATTGGAAAATAATATAAGTTCACTTTTTATATTTAAGTGACCTCTCAATGTGACATTTCGTCGAGCACCTAGTGTGCACTCCAGGGTTCGTAGATTAATCTGACTTTGACCGCTACTCTCACCATTCTCTTGCTGCAAACACACATAGTTGAAGGTACACAATGGTAAGTTTTTGAATGAGCAGAAATTATGTTGAGGTTTTTCTTATATAAAGACCTTCTTCGTTTAGGAGAAGAGACCATGGATTTCATTTCTCGAGCTCGCTTCATTTATGTATCCTATGTTTATATAGTAATGTAGAACAACAGTAGAAGATTGTGTGATCTTCATCTTCTTTGGAAGATTTATATGTAGAGAGACGAGAAAAAATTGGAGAAAGAACAAAAGTCGTTTATTAAAGATTAAATAAATCTCAAGAATTTTATGTTAATTAAGTTGCAAAGTCACAAAGAATTAAATAAATCTCTAGAATTTTATGTAAGAGCAAAATTAATTAGCAACTACTATAGACGATCCTATGGATTTCCTAAATCATGAGAAATGGGTCACTCATGAACTAACTTGGCTAATATAGCCAGCTTCATTATCTTGACATCGAGACTTTCATCTAGCTTGACTATACCGTCCCATCCGTCTTCACCAATGACCTTACCTATTGAACCACCATACTTGCCTCCAAGAATCTTCACACGTTCGTTCTTCTTTGGACAAACTAGGCTCATTTGTTCTGTGTCGCCATTATCGTCTCGCCTTCACCTCTGTGTCCAAGTGCGACTACACATGAGCCATCCTGATGACCACAAAAGAAGAAGAGTCTTACAGAATCAGTAAAATGAAAATGTTAACTCCAACATAACATTCTTCTGTGTATTTTAAAGAGGACAAACCGGAAGAACATCTCGGATGACACCGGGTTTACTATCCTCTCCAGCTTTGTGTACGTTGACCAAAATACCAGTCACAAACCTTGTTTCTACATCTCCACCTGGTCGAGTTAAGAATATGACAACCAAAAGCTCATCTTATCGACTTGAAATAGGATATGAGAATAAAAAACACCAAATGGTATAAAATAAGAGACAGCACCTAAATCATGAGACATGACATCGAGATCGGTTCCAGGAGTCATTGGTTGTCCTCCGGGTGTGGTAGGTAGGTAGGAAGCTGAGCTTGGTGTCATAGGACTTGGGGCATTAGCTGCATGAGAAAAGTGTGAGAAAAAGAGTCGTCAAAGCAAGAAACCGTCAAGGTATAAAAGGTAGACAAAACAGATAGAAACCATTGTTTATTGGTGTTCCAGCATCAGTGTAACTACTACGACTAGGAGTACTACTACCCCATCCTGATCCAGGCGTAGATGCTTCATATGGACTCGCTCCCCATGATCCCGGGTTCCCATCTTCCCAGTTATCCCTGAGACCATAAAACCATAGTTTGAGACTCTTGCTCAAAATATTAAATATTTAGGGGAATAATTGAACAGTAGCCATGTTTGTCTGTATAACAAACGTACCTAGGAGGACTCATCGGCATGTAAGGATTCCAAGCTCTACCACGCATAGGTGTCCTCATTCCATCATGGATAGGTGTAGCTAAAGTTTTACATAAACATATCAAACAGCTTAATATGTCAAATGAAAAACAAAAACAAATGATTGGATCTTGAAACTGCGAAATAACTAAGGTAACAAACCTCCGGAATCCCGCATCGGAGTCATACAAGGATGAAGTGGAGTCCGGGAAGGATGCATAGGAGTTTGGCTTCCCATATTATACTGAGAGGGTGTGGCTACATTATTGGTCATATCTGATATCGCCTGCCGATCAACTGTACATACAAGGAGCGTTAGAATTCATTCAACATTCAGCAACCAGCTGTGAACAGAAGTGAAATTACAGTGGAGCTTGCCTGTCACAATCTTGGCCTCGAGTTCCACACGCACTAACTTATCTTTGACTTCAACTAAACGCCCCGTATATCCCTTGAAAGACCCCATACGAATTTTCACATAAGTACCTACCAGAAGATCGTCACCCCTTCCCCTTCGTCCACCCCTCCCTCCAGCTCCATAACCCCCTTTAACATTTAAAATGCAGTGGATCAGTCAAGAATAAAGATATTAACCAAAATAGTATGAAATCTGACATACGATTATATCCCATGTCTTCCCGTTGAAATCTTCTAGGAGATGGAGGAACCGGGGCTGGTGTCTTGAAATTGCCAAACCTAGAGAAGGGATCAACCTAGAGTAGAAAAATAACAAAACAGAATGAAGCTTTTTCTAGCCGAATATAGAATAAAGATAGCCAAACCTGCTAAAAGAGGCTTACAATTCTGTCCGCGCCGGAATATGATCCACCAACTAAAACACAAGATGAGCATCTAGTGCAGATAAATCCAGTGTGTTCAAGGTTATGCCGGTCATGTATAAACAACACTCCTTTGTAGATTTGCACCACTGGACCTTGTTTACCCTATCACAAATAAATAAATTGGTACAAGACAATCAAATGATAATTAAAGAGTTTGTTAACCCAAAAACGATCAGACTGCAAAGGAACTCACTTTGCTAGGACCCTCAATAACCCTGACAATATCTTTCACCGAGATGACATTTTTGTAACGGTCTTGCACATTGATTTTCTTCCAAATTTTGTATTTTATTTCGCTGGCTTTGACAATAGAGACCTCTGAGCTGTCAGGAACCCCTTTAAGAATCTGAAATAAACCAAAATAGAGTTATAGCAAATCTTGAAATAAATAATAACATTATAGCATTGACATATTATCTAGAGGCATTTGTATGATTGTATCAACAAGAAATTGGTAAGTTACCTGGATAGCTTCACTATCAAGTTTTATGATTACTCCAAAGCTCAAGTCACTGCATCATGTAATATAAAGCTATCATACCCATAGAAATGGTATCAATTAGAGGTGGTTGGGCATTCAACTTACCTTAGAATCACAAGATCATGAAGTTCATAGTCTCCAATTTTTGTGACACCATTAGTCACTTCTGCACTCTTGGCGACATGATCAGCGAAGACGCGAATCTACATATAAATATAATCCCCACGCATTTAATTACCCTTAACAGAAATTAACGCACAACTTAACCAAAAACTCCCTTACATGTTCTTTGGTTGTATCAGACAGAATGATAAGCATATGCTGATCAACTTTGACAACCATGCCAGTTCCTCCTATGTGGATGCCAGACACAACCTTCACAAAATTTCCAGGTTCAAAGTATTTGCAAAGCTCTCTCTCATTTACCGCAATAGGATTCTGCAACAGTAAATAGTCTTTTACTGGCTGCAACATTTTAGCAACAAATATGTTGTTTATGAAAAGATGAAGATTTTGATACTTACAGGAAGACCTTTCATATTCGGTCTGATAAGAACATTCTCTTCATCTACTTTCTCAATCCAACCCTTTAAGTTTATAAGATCCCCCTTGATAACAATAACCGCATCACCTTTCATGAAATGACCCTTCTTTCTATTTGCAAATAAAGTGGAGGGATCAACGAAGTCGATCTCCCCATTTTCATTTGGTCTCTTGAATCTTTCAAGTTCATCGAAGGTTGGTGTAATATTCTGAGCAGCAATTGACTTCGTCGATACTTTCTTGTAAAGAAAACCATCTTTGAAAAGCATACCATCGATATTCTCAAAGTGGTCACCCGTCATTGGATCACGCCGGTGCTCAACACGTATGTGAAGTTCCCTAAAGTCACGTTACAAATACTGTTAAATCATTACCAAAAAGCACACTAATTGCTTAGAAAAAGCAGAGAATAGTTTCACCAGAAGGCTGGAACAGTACCTTGCCTCATCAATGTTCATGAAACGTGGAGGTGGAGCAAAAGCTTTCTTCTTGACATTCTCTCTTCCTTCCTACGTATAATCAGTTTAAATAAGCCCGGAAATTATATAGTTTATCTTAACAGACTGAGTTTAAATGTAACAAGTATGTTTCTAATACCAGCTTATTGGCTAGAGCCTGCATATCAATTCTTGGGATCAACTTGACTGTGACCCTCTTACGCACATTATCAACATCAACCACCTGTGTACAAAAATACATTTCAGAAAGGTTTCAGAGAACTCTAAACACTTAAAACACATGAAAAATGAATCGTACCTGAGCTAGATCACCCTTATATATCCCAAGTTTCATTCTAACCCATGTATCACGGGATAGATCAATTGCTTTACTTTCGACAGAAAGAACGTCTGTCATTTCTTTTATGGGGACAAGTAAAATCTTCTGATTAGCATAAATATTCCGCATGCCCTTGATAGCCTACTCCACAGAGGAAGATATATCATCAAACTATAGTCAGAACATCAAAATATTGCTATGCAAACCATCAAATACCTCTTTCACATGAGCTTCCATATCCGCTTCAATGTAAACATAGTTTTGAAGATGATCAAGGGCAATAGCAGATCTAATCTTGAACTCTGATCCTCTATCTATGATTTTTTGCATAAGACAAACAGCAAGTTCTCTTTCACGGCCAATCTAATGATTCCATTGTAAAACATCAATTAACGATATAAGAGAGGTAATCAAACTTCCAAGCTGTGAAGAGATAACAAGAAAGAAATCGTACCGCACATTTGACCAACCACAGTTTTGGGTCACGGACTGATGGCAAAAGCGCTTGTTGATCAATGTCGTTAACCTCATCAAGCTCATAATCATCCTCTGCATGCATCCTAGAAGACAACCTTTCCAAAGTTCTCTTCTCAAACTCGTCGACATCTTCTTCATGAGGATTAAACCCCCGTTGGTAAAATTGCCTATGATGATTAGTATCCTCACTAGGAAGGTCAGTTTCACCACTTACAATGAAACCTGAAAAAATTCAGATAATTGAAAATCTCAATAACACAAAAGTTTCGGATTCATAGTGAAAGGAGACGAATTTGTGAATTTCCAATAAAAACAGAATCGTCGAATTCAATCAAGAAATCAACTTCGTAACTGGAAAGAGAAAAAGTCCCCAAATTCTCAACTATGCTTACCGTTATCATCTTCAACATCATCGTCGTCGTCTTCGACGTCGTCATCTACCTCAACCTCCCAGTCAATGAAGGCGGAACCCGAAGACTTCTTTTTACTCCCTCGACGACCATCAGAATCTGAATTTGATCTTCCCCTTTTCTTCCCTGAGCTTCCTTTGCGGCTACTTCTCGGCTCATATTCGTCTTCGTCCTCCTCCTCCTCCTCCATCTCCGAATCATCCTCATGTGAATAATCGTCGTCTGAGTAGTGAGACATGGTTCGATTACAGAGAAACTAGGGTTCCGATTAGAAGTACCCAAATCTGGGAAATCGCGATATATACTCGCTCTTACTCGACTCGAGAAGAACCCTAAAAACCCTAAAGAATCGAAAGGAGCAGACTTTTTGGCTTTTCGCTAAATTGCAACTTCTCTAACGCATGAAATTTTATCAAATTGTGAATTGCCGCTTACCATGCAGTGTTCTTATATAGGATGTGGAATATTTTTATATTCCCTTTTTGCCCTTTCTTTATTTTGACCCAGTCATGGTTCACTAAGCATGATTCCGGTTTACCAAATTATACCCACATCTAATTAATGCGAACCAAATTAATAACCATAACTTCTTAATCCTCCCAGTTAATAATCAACATTGATCAAGACCAACCTTAAAACAAACAAAGCCAATTCTCTTATGGTTTCTATCAGACACTAAGCGACGAATCTGCCACGGCCATGGGATCGATCTTTTGATTAAACAATGATAAATGGACCAACCATAAATTTTGCCACATATGGCATACAAAACTCACAAATCATAATTCCTATTCAACGGTCCGCATCTAGTACTAAGATAAAGCCGACAAGTATTTAAGCTAGTTTAATTACATAACCATTGTTTTCACTAACTCGCTTGATTCATATATAGAAGAATACATTACCTCTTTGAAACATAATAAGACACATTGTTATCATTCAACGGTTTTCTTTAAAGTTAAGATCGCCGATTTCTACTAGTTTGATCCAAGAGAACTAGTACGTCCACTTCGACTGAAAAATCAAAATCTGATTAGCTCAAAACCAAGAAATATAAAACATTGGCGCAAGAGAATTACAGGGCAAATCTCCTTTGGCAGAGAGCTAACCACAAACATTAATGCATATTATGCAAGAATGAAGTAATAGATTTCTGCCAATGGTGATCTTGCCCTGTAATGTATTTGCACCTTCTCTATGTATCTTTTATCTCTCTACTAAAAATAATTGTTTGTGTTGTGTTTATATATAACATTGCAATAAGCATATTCAATGGCACTATCCTTCCAATCTAGAATAAAATCTCTATACGTGTGCATAATTTAATTTCCTAAGGAATAATCCTCTATGCCCCGAGTTTTTTACTGTCATCTTTAGTATTCTTTATTCGAGTCTCACAGAGTTTTGTTCTACTTTACTTGATTATTATAACTTACGATATTAAACATCCAATTAATGAGTTTTAATTATTTTAAGATGATTAATTCCAGAAATAATCTTTTGACTTGCAAAAAAGTTTGACAAAGACAACTTGTAAAGGTTATATACTCTAAAAATGGAATGATCCGTGGTATTGTCCTCTCCAGGGTTTTATTTAAAATATAAAAAAATCAAAAAACTCACAAACTTTTGCTTCTTCTGTTTCTTTTTGACATTTTGGTAATGTTAAGTAAGTTTACATTGTATTTTGCTAGATAGGAGTAAAATAATGAATTTAAGAAGAAAAACGTTTTAGCTGCGCCTGCATACCCATCAACCTCTAAGTCATAAATTGTATATTGTATAGTTTTTACAAGTACACATTTTTTTCTTTCATAAAAATAATTGAACTTTTAAGAAGAGTTAAGTACGGATATTGTCATTATATAAAATTAGTTATACAATTAAGTCAACTTTACCATTGTGGTATATAGAGTCTTATTTTAAAATTAGTCCATTAGTGTGCAGAAATAAATTCAAATAGACAAATTAATACTTATTAAGAAACAAATCATATGCTTGTATATATCCTAGCTATTCTTGTAGCATCTTTGGAGATTTTATGATTTAGGTTTGAAAAGGCGTTTGTTCAAAAAAAAAAAAAAAAAAAAGGTTTGAAAAGGCCAAAGATCAAAGTTAGATGCTTCAGGTACTGCAGGCTGGCAGCATATTCAATAAGTATATCCAACTGAAACAAAAATTAGATTGCATGCTATTGTACTTGATCAATAGCTATTTGACAATGCACATAAGATAATATTGGCTTTAGATTGTATATAACCATTTTAATTTATTGCTTAGTACGATCTATACTAATCATGAGAGATGTCGCCAACGAGGAATAATGGCTAAATGCCTACTTAGATCGAACCTTCGTTACGATAATTATTTTGTAGAATGAAACATGTTAGATTACTAAGTATTTTATGATGAAAAATTGTGAACCGTTATATCGTTTTAACTTGATTGCGGAACTTGGTTCTCGGATTCTCATTCGTTTTGAAGCATTTTTTTGTCTAAGTGCGTGAAAGCCTCTAACGAAGAGATAACGTTCGAACCAAAATAAAGGAGTAGATTTTGAAGAGACTCTAAATCGAGTAACAACATATTTGACAATTATCAAATCATAAAAGTATATGAGCTGCCTCAAATAACACTATAAAATGAAAATATTATATAGTACATTGGACATTGGAGAAATGAATAATGCCATAACGGTAGGGAAGCATTGCGAGGCAAATCTCCTTTGGCAGAGGAAAATGATGAGAAAATATAAGAGTGATCAACACTCATCAACTTCCCCTGCCAATAGAGGATTCGCCCTGTAATGCTTTCTACCAAAACATAATCTCTGTTTTCCTCTCTCACTTGATTGCTTCAAAAGGAAAAACTCAAACTATGTAATGTATTTATATACCTTGATGTAAAGAGCATATGCTATGGAACAATTTCCTATCAAAACATGAATCACAAAACTTAATATACCATTTACTAGCTAGCAAACTATTCGCGAAAAAAATGCCTGGTAAATCAAGAAAAATAAAAAAACATAAATGTAAATCACGAAATCAGAAGCATGAGGACCGCATGAAGGGGTCTTTAGGATTATACTAGACACATATGCTCTATGAAACATGGTATGTGCCAGAGAATATGCTTTTCTATATGCATTCACTAAATAGAAACACTTTCATCATTCGTCAACTATATATATGTTCTTTGCTAGTCCAACTTACAATAACTCAAGATGCAATGTGAAAAGTCAAGAAAATATATATTAAATAGTAGTGAAGATGCATGTTTATGAAGACAGAGAGATAATGTATGGTTGGATTACTGGGCGAATACTCCTATGGCAGATAGCTTTGGCTAGATATGCAAGCAAAATGCTTCTCTGCCAAAGGAGATTTGCCCCGCAATTCATCCCATGCAAAACAATACATCTTTCCATAATCTTTAGGCAAGTTAATGTTTTTTTGTTATTGGTTATCGGGTTTTATGGATCGAATCCCAGATCAATCTTGGAATCTAAAACTACCATGCAAGGTCTTTGTTGGTGAGTGTCTTCCAAAAGAACTTAAGGCATTAGTTTGAATGTTTATATGTTATGGTAATGTTTTTTCCCCCTCTTATATTAATATTTTTATCCTTCTTCAGAACATATAAATAAGTATTTCCATTTGAACATGAAAGTTCTCGTGTCCTTCAATCCTAGTAAAAAATGAGAGAAACGCGTAAGTCACGTGAGGTCATGCACACTCTCTAAAATCCTTACTATGTAAATCATGTCATGCGTATTTCATCTTGAAACTAGGATGTTTATGGCGTGAACCAAACATAAACGATGAAGATATATTTATTAGTCCAACGGCAATATAAGAGGTGGCCACTGGCCTATGTTAGTATGTGGGCCTATATAATTCTATTAACCACATTGGCCCATGTGGGGGATTATATGCAGTAGAGGGACGAAATTGCCCTTTCTTTAAGATAGAGAAATACAAAACAAGTCTCACAAAATGGTTTTGTTCTAATAGTTAAGAGTCAAAATCTACAGTCACAACTCTAAATTGTCCATCTGTTAGATTATGAATCAGAGTTTGATCTAAGAACTTGGATTCTATCATCTCTTTTCCATATAGTCTAGAGTCAGAATCAAATGATAAAATGACCAACAGATATACTTTATTCAAGTGTTTTGGTAGTAACCGCTAATCTTTTTGAAAAACCAATGAAGCAAAAGGATAGTGAGCAGAAAAACCATGAAGATGCAGCAAGATTGTCCTCTTCCTCGTCTTCTTCTCTCTTCCAATGTATTGTCCCTTTCGCCGCTCCAATCCTCCATCAACCTTACTGTAACATTCTTCGCTGTGCAACCGCAGATTTCACACACACTGCCAAGAACACAACAAAGCACCGAGATTTAACTTAATGCTAAATCTTGTACATTAGTTCATGCATCAAATCCATACTCTTACTAAGCTAATAACACTCTAAGAAATTGAATTCATTACCTGTTCCCTCTTAACTTGAACCAAGCTTCCGCGCAATGGAAATGTGCAAGGCCAAGCTCGTTTTTGCATTTGCAACCAATCTCAATCAACTCCGGACTTACTGACTTATCATCACCAGAAGCCTCAGGTGATTGATCAGAACCAAAATGACAAATCCTGCAGATTCTTTCTCCTTCACCACTCAAATCAATAGTGTGGAACTCCTTCGCCTTTGCTTTCAAAGTATCACTCTCTGCCTCGTTGCAGCTTACCGCACTAACATTATCCACAACTTCCTCATGAACAGCATGAGCTGAAATGTTACTACTGCAGCTAACACCATCTTTGTCCATTCTTGAATCATTTTCTTGTAGCGGTTTCTTCACATCTTCCTCTTCTTCAATCAACACCTTTTTTGAAACAGAGTCACTGGTCTGACCCTTGACATGAGCCACAATCACAGCCTCACTTGAATTCGAACAACTTTTCGGGTCCATTTTAATTCATATATACCATAAAAGACGAGAACTTTTGATCAAGTTCCTACAAAGTCCAAGATCCGTAACCTCTTAGTATGATTGTATCAGATAAAGAGCCAACAGAAACAACATTCCAATAATTGTAAACCCTGTAAGAACTCTTTAATTTCACCAAAATTACTTGAGACCCTAAGAACTCCAATTACTGGTGAACAAAGTTGGTAAAGATATAAAAAATCAAACCTTACCCAGAATCCAGATCCACCTCAAAAGAGCTCTTGCAAGAAAAAGCGACGAACTTTTAGGTTAAAGAAGTGTCAGAGAATCTGGGGAACAACAAATCTCAAGAAAAAGGTTTAATTTTCAGCTTTATGGCTCAGAGATCTTTCAGCAACTGGAGAAAATAATCAGCTTTATGCCTTTGAGAAACGTATGCTCGGCGCTACAGTTACCTGCAAAATATCTTAATCAGCTGGCTCTCGATTGCAATTTCCTTTTACTTTAAGTCTCACTTTCCGTTTCAGTTTTGTCTTTCTATAAAACTACGTGTTCCATTTTAGACAGTAAAACCAAACCCCATTTGTGTAAGATTTTTGTTGAGGAAGTCCCTTACTTGGTAAGCAGAAGAAAGTTTGGTGAAGATGAGAACAACTATTATCAACTCTAATTCAAACCAATTAAACAAAAAATTCACTATTTATGTTTCAACAATTATATATTTACCACAAAAAAATTTTGTTTAAAAATTGGCAAAAAACATGATTGGTGTAATTTTGGGGAAAATAATATTACATGAAATTTGGGAAAAAAAACTGCACAAATCTCCAACCATTTGCCAATATTTTGTAAAAATCTATAATCATTTTTTCCAATTTTTACCAGTTTCTTAGTCATAATATTACCTCAGCCATTTTAGTCCTTAACATTTTTATATCTTTAAATGTAAAATTAACTAATATTGACACATGTTTGCATTGCAATAAAGAGAATTAATCAGCTTAAATGTGTGTGTATATAAGCATAAATGAAAGGAAAAATAAAGAAAATAATAGACAAAAATCTTTGAAATAATAAATTTAGGATATACTTTAGCTAACATAACAGGATCATGTATCACATAACCTATTTATATTTAAGTAAAGTAAAAATTTAGGTGAATTAAATTATATAATTAAGATAATTGAAAGTATAAATTTCAATTATTATTGGTGGCTGTCGTCATAAATAGAGAGAAATATAATTCTTGTTGGCCGGTAAAGACCTACTAAACCGGTGAAACCCATTAAAGACTTCCTGAATCTAAAAAAAGTAAAAACTAAACTCCTAGACGAACCAAATAAAAAGCAAAAATGAATCAGTAATAAATGGTGTAGATTGGAAACCCATTTTGGAAGCAAGCTCTAAAGTCTAGACTCTAGATGTCATGTTGCCACCAACCCAAATTCCCTTGAGAGTAGGATGTGTTTGCTATTGAAATGCTCCAAAATATGATCTTTTATGCTGATCCTAATGGGTGGTGTTGATTCATTAGGTAAAAAAAGAATGATTCTTATAGATTAAATAAAAATTGGGTGATGATAAGTCACACACAAACAACAACAATACTCAGTCAAAAAATAGAGTAAAACTTTCTATGAAGGAGGGAAGAAACGGTTGAGGTTGAAAGGGAGAGTGTAGAATTCCTCATTCCTGCTATCTCCTTTGAAAGTTCTGAACTTAGCCCACCAAGGCAATCCTCTGTCTCTCGCGGTCTCTTTATAGTCCAGAGTGTTGTCCAAGAACACTGCCACCATCAGTGCGACCATCGGTGAAGATAAGAAGATTGTGTTCAAGAAATCATTGAACCAACCAGCATTTGTGTGAGCTGGACCGTGTAATGCTTTCATGCTGAAGTCTCTGAAGTATTCGGGGATTGATAATCCTAAGAAGAGAGACACACCGACGATGAAGAGGTTTCTAAGAGAGTTCATGTTTGTGAATTGCAGAAAAGAGAGTCCAACTGAAGCAACAAGACCAAACAAGACGCAGTACACGGCTGCAAATATTGTGAAAGGTATTGAAGCGAACAATGCCCCGAATTTGCCTAGCATTGAGAAGAATATCATAAATCCTGCTGAGATTTGGATAACTCTGCGGCTTCCAACTCTGGTGCTTCCTAGTAATCCAATGTTCTCTCTGCAGAATTTGTAAGAATCAAGAAATCAATGAGACTAACTGGTCCATCTAATTGAGTAAATGCTTTGCATTCACACTTTCACTTACACAGAGACACTTGAACCGCTTAGCGTTCCAAATAAACCGTTTAAGAGGATCCCAATGCCTTGCCAGCCAATTCCACGGCTAAGAACATGAGGTGGAGGAGGTGTGGCGCTAGCCAGTCGTGCAGCAGCTTTGAAAGCTCCAGTTGACTATTCACATTCAAAAGATTCTTCTTTTATGACATCCTATGCTGTGACTATAACTAAATCTTGTTCAAAGAGACATTATTACCTCAATGAGTGAGACCAAAACGGCAGCCATCATAGCGAAAGCATGACCAGCATCAAAGCTAGGTGCTCCCCATTGAAGTGGATAAGGAATCTTGATCCTAAAAGAAGTCAAGAGAAGCATATATATGAAACACTATCAACTACTGAATGTTTTTTTATTATACACATTTATAGAATATTAACTAACCAAGGAGCAGAAGAAATGAGGTTAGACATATCGGTTCTGCAGTTTACTTGTGTCTGGTGTGGTCGGTGTTTGTAAGCCCCGCTCGCTGTCAAGACATGAGCGTAAGCCCACACCACGATTAGCGCTATAATAAGAGCGAACCTCTCCACTACTGGGAATTGCCTGAACTGAAAGTTCTTCAGATACTGCACAAGAACATACAGATTATAACATCGGTTAAAAAGAACATATTCGGAATCAGAGAGAATTGGATCTCAAAGGAAAATAACCTGAGAGAAGATGACAAAGAGGATAAGCATGGGGAGTCCTATCTCAACACAATTACCAACCTGCAAACAACACAAACATTATAAGAATAAGAACGAAAGGGATGATTGTAGGATGTTTAAAGAGAGAAAGCGCAGTAATGTACCACTGGGAATCCTCTGTTGAAGAGTCCAAAACCTGTTAATGCAATAACAGGAACCATACCAATAGGACTAAAGAATCTGAAAAAATTTAAGATGAAAACTCGTTAAAGCCTCTATACCTTTATAATAACAAGCACTGAAATATGTATGTATATGTACCTTGAACAGATAGCCCACATTTGGCTGAAACCGAGGATGATTTGAACGCTGGATGCAACAATGATCGCACCTTGTACTGCTCTCATTGTACTTAGAAATCTCTACTTAATTTCAGTAAATTGGAGTTAAGATCTTCATAATACTATACAAAGAAAAAAGTAAAGATACCAAACATACCAATTGTGGATCTTCGATACGGGTCAAAGAAGAGTCATGAATGATTGAAATGATGGGAACCATGAACGCATAAGAGCCTCCAATGACAGTTGGAAGACGAGTTCCAAATAATGTTTGAAGAAGAGTGTTAACACCTTGAAGAAACAGTAGTGTCTGAACAACTCTCACTTTATCACCCTACATCAAATCTCAATCAGTCTAGCAAAACTCACAGAGAGATTCTTTAAATTTAAGAAACAATGGAGAATGTAAGAAATAATGCTCACATCATCTCCTCCCATCATAGGAACAAGAAATGAAGGTATCATCACTGCAGTTCCTAAAGCCAAAATGTAATGCTCGAAACCTAAAGCTATGGCTTCTCCTGCAATAACATCATCATCAGGAAAGTGAAAAGTCAATCAGTCAATTACAGAGAATGGTTTCAAGGCTAGTACCCCATGGAGGGTTAGAGTCAATACAGTACTCTAAACCCTGAAGCTGATCCATTGGTGGGTGACTTATCTCCTCTGGCTTTACAGGATCCATGATTCTAGAATATGAATTTGTGCAAAAGTCTTTTCTTTTTCTTTCTGGGTCAACACTCAACAACAATCTTCTTCTTATGAGCTCATGAATCAGCTAAAGAATCAGGAAAACTAAAAGGATCTAATTGAATCAGAGAAATGACTGAGAAAACAAGAACTGAGTGGTTTAAATAAAAAAAACAAAAGGTGTGTGAAAGAGAAAAAATGAGGACAAGGCAAAGTGAAAAAAGCTTCTCTTTTTCGAAGTTGCAGCTGAGTTAGAAGAGAGCTTTTTGGTAGTGGTGGAGATGGTGATGGCTAAGGAAATTTATTCATTTATATGTATGAATGAGATAGTGAAAGATTGAGAAAAAGTACCGTTAGAAATATTAGTTAGGTACCGGAAATGCCCCTTAAGGAACTGCCAAAAACCGAATACTACCGTTACACTGTTTTGTTGGTAAATAATGCTTTTTCCAACTTTACACATCAGAGAGTCACAGATTCTTTTAATGAAGTTACGTTTTGTGCAGTGCATATCTTCTCTTCCTTCAAGCTTCTTCAATTTAGTTACTCTTTAATTAAAGGGCACAGAAAAAAAGAGAGGCAAGGAATCGTATAGTAAGCCAAGTGTTTGATTTGTATTTAGTGTTCCCAATTCTTCTTCTTTTCAGTTTCACGTCCAGTATTCATTTTTATAATGTCAAAGGTGTTTTCTACATAGTACTATGTGTATAACTTATTCTTATATTTTGGGTATACAAAAGTCAAGAAAAAAAGTTGGGATAATATACATGATGATCGATTAAGAAGACTAGACCATAATGAAAGCAAACCTAAGTAAAAGAAAACGTTATGATTGTGTGAAAATAACTTGTTTCGAAAAGAAAAATGAACCAATAACTTAACATCTCTTTTGCTTTACTTTCTTTTCTTTTTCTCTTTGAAATTTTTCATTTTATTAAAAAAATTTATCTTTGGTTCTGAATAATAATGACATTGGGCAAAAAAAATAAATAACATGGAGCCAAGAGATGGGTCCAAAACAGTGCAGATGTAAAAAGAGTAGCTAACTGGGACACCCACGTGCGACCCAAGAAGGGCCAAAATGGGGTCACATATTTGGATTTAGGACATAAACAATACAAAAAAATTAACAATGCTTTTGTTAACAGACATACCTCTCTGGTCTCTTTCACCTGTTGACTGCTACAAGATCCAAAAACGGTGCCGTTTCATGGCTGTGGTCGATTGAGTAAAAAGGAATTGACTTGCTCATGTCCTGCCTCTTTCCTCTGTGATTCTTTTTTTTTTTCTCATCATTCCTCTGTGATTCAAAAGTAACACATGCTTGTGATAAGATCCCACATTGGAAGTAAAATG